TAACTACTCCTCTATATTCTCTTTAATACCTGAATATCAGGGAAGTGTGTCTAACTACTCCTCTATATTCTCTTTAATACCTGAATATCAGGGAAGCGTATCTAACTACTCCTCTATAATCTCTTTAATACCTTAATATCAGGGAAGCGTGTCTACCTACTTCTCTATATTCTCTTTAATACCTGAACATCAAGGAAGTGTGTCTAACTACTCCTCTATGTTCTCTTTAATACCTGAATATCAAGGAAGTGTATCTAACTGCTCCACCATATTCTCCTTAATACCTGAGTATCAGGAAAGCGTATTTAACTACTCCTCTATATTCTCTTTAATACCTGAATATCAGGGAAGCGTGTCTAACTACTCCTCTATGTTCTCTTTAATACCTGAATATCAGGGAAGCGTATCTAACTACTCCTCAGTTTGTTTTTAATCTTTGTGAAGAAACAATCTCAAGAACTGACGAGGGTCAACCCAGACCGAAATATATTTTCAATAAATGTGGAACAACATCTACGGTGGTCCAAAAATCGCGTTGTCTAGGACAGACCCAAGACAATTTCTGGGCCGAGCGCTGCGGCTAAGACAGGCTAAAGGAAGGAAAGGCTAATGTTTCAGTGGGTTTTAATGCTGGAAAACGTATTATGTTAAACTTAAAAAAAACGATGATATAACCATCATATCCAGTCCACTATTAAGTTAGGTTTTGAGAGTATCATTTAAGTCGTTACAGGTCCAATTTAATATCGCACATTGAATTTTTAAGGCTAAAAATCACTCAATTTCGGCATTTTCTCAAAAATTAATAGATTTTGGTTTGGTTTTAATTTAGAACCGCAATTAAAAGGAGATGGTGATAACAAGGTGCGCATAAGGCGCAATGGCCTTTTTCATGCAGCCATAGCCAAAAAAATGGGGCCAATTTTACACTTTGTGGCACCAAATTTTGTTCAGGCTAGATTTGGTCTTAAACATTGTGATAGAAGACTAAAATTTTGCATGCAGCATCTTGATGTGATCATCCATACAAATCAAGAATACAACTTGGAATTGGAGGTCAACGACCTTCATTATGACTTCCATCAAATTAAAAAAATTGGAAAATACCAATTGGTTCACACCAACTCATTCCTTCCAACATGACCAGACAATTTTTTATACTTCAAACAAACAAATAAAAAATGTGCCAAAATAAACACAAATATCCGACCTACGGGTTGACCTCTTCTCCATTATGGTCTCGAATATGTCAAGATCTGTTAATCCTGTTGAGTGTTTGGTTTGATTTCATTTGAAGGATCCTATTTTGTAAACGAATGTTATTACACCCTAGTACTAGTTGACCTCCAACTAGTCATGACCTCCTCTGAAGGTCAAAATTATAGAAACTTTTGAGTGTGAATAAATGACAATTTACCGACGAATTAGTCGATTTTGACGATAAATAAACTTGAATTCTCAAAATGCCGGGCCTGAATTAGCTGGACAAAAACTGAAAAATTAAGGCTCTATAAGTTGAATAAAGGATAAGGTAAGTAACTAGACAAAAAAACATTCATGATTTAAGTAAAACAAAAATGATGATAACTTTCATGATATGTTGATTTTTTATGGCTCTCTTCTCCACTGCAGTGTTCTTGATGGGTTTCCTCTACGCGTCCACCTGCACATGGTGAAGTAGGATATCTCTGAAAAGCAATTTTATCCTGAGGATTGGTAAATCTTAATTGAAATTTTCTAAGAGGAATTGGATTTTGCAAGATGACCGAAAATAAATGTGCTTAAAATTGATCGACCAAAAAAGATAAAATTTGAGATTGAATAATACAGACTATTTAGAAAGTGTCTAAACCTAACCTACCGCTAAATATGAAATCTTATATGAAAGACATGGGTATAATTGACCCTGAGGCCGCAGCGCTCGGCCCCCTAGCCTGGCCTAGCCGCAGCGCTAAGCCCAAAAAGTGTCTTAGCCTAACCTAACCCTAAATATACACTAATTTTGTTGAAAATTATTAAAAAAATGGTAATGGGTATATTCCTAGAGAACGATTTTGGACAACCCCCCCTCCTATCAATTTTGTACGTGGGTCTGCCAGAGAACATGTTCACCATTAATTTANGCTCGGCCCCCTAACCCTTCCTAGCCGCAGCGCTCGGCCCAGAAAGTGTCTTAACCTAACCTAACCCTAAAAAACAAAAAAATAAATAATAATAAATTTGCTGAAAAATAAATGGTCATGTACAAAAGTGATAGGAGGGGGGGGGGCTGGGGGGATCCAAAAATTTTATACTAGGACGGACCCAATTATAAAACCAAATAAACGTTTAACATGATTTTTTAAGACTTAACTCTTCCTTAAAGTTTTAAGAGACAAGTGTACACTGATGTTATGTTTCATAAGCAGACGGGCAGCGCTCACAAATGAAAATCAAAGTTACATAAGTTTATTATTATCATAACATTTTTAAATTTTTCCTTTTTTTACAAAATTTTATTTTCAATGTTTTCGTGTGAAGATTAGACACAAATTTAATTTAATTAAATCGCCCCAATTTTTGTCCCATTTTGCCAAAATTGAGACATTATCTAATCTTTCAATAATTTACAAATTTCAACTGTGATACAAAATTGATAATAGTATTGATGAATTTTTAGTTTGGGTGAACCATTTGGCCATTTGAAGATTTGTACAGAATTTATAATAAAGGTGTTTTTAATAATTTGTGAGCGATTTTATGTCGTCTTTACTTTCAGTTGTACGTTGCTGAGCACTGAGCAGTCTAGCAGACGAAGTTGAATTCTTTGAACAATTGGAAGCTGTTAATTTAAAATCTTGAATTGATGTAAATTTTGTATAGCATTTCATATGTAACACATTGATATAATTGGTCATGTGTCCGTAGCGCCCGTGCCCCTAGTCGGTCTTAACCGCAGCGCTCGGCCCAGAAATTGTCTCGAGTCTGTCGTAGAGAACGCAATTTTTGGACCCCCGCCCCCTACAATGACGGACCTCTTCAGTTTCGGAATTTCTATAAAGGGATATCAATTTTTATAGGGCAAGGTAGGGACACCTTGTCACTATGAGCCTCTATTTTACTGCAACAAGCCTCCTAGATTGCCAGACAGTTGATTGATTGATAGATTAATGTTATTACTTCGTTTGTTTTTAATCTTTGTGAAGAAACAATCTCAAGAACTGACGAGGGTCAACCCAGACCGAAATATATTTTCAATAAATGTGGAACAACATCTACTTTTTTACTCTCCAGAGGTTTGGTCCATCACCATCACCGAATTTTAAATGTTATTAATATGTCCCTGAAGCATATGGGCACTTCAAATTACACAAATTTAAAATTTTTATGATTAATACAACATCAACCCATTTGCATTTTTAGCTTATTGAGGTAAAGCCATGTCAGTCCCAAAAAGTTGGAGATTTGAAGCTTTGATTCAGAACTATGTCTGTCCATACATTGTTGGGGCTATAGTTAACTTAAAGGTATGTGCTATGACAAAAGCTTGCAAAGAGAAGCTTGGAAATAATTTGAAATTCAAGAAAATTGCTAAATTTGTTAATATCTCAGTTTTGTCTGGAGCTCTAAAATAAGGAAATCACATCTAATTTAAATTCATGCGTTTACAGTACACACACATTAAGGGCTTAGCTATAGCTTCATATTATATTGTATAATAACAGACAAGATGTAATTCCAAACATTTAAGAAAGATAAAGTTATGGCTAGTTTTTTACTCAAAACATTTAATCAGTGTGTTATTATGTCAAGAAAACAAGTCACAGGGAAAATATTAAGGAAGTTTGTGTATGTGCTTTAAAAAAATAAATAGAAAAATGATGAAAAATACTTACTTTTACTTTGGAGAAATATTAACAGGAGACACATGTTATTAGATCCATTTTTCAAAGGCTTATCAAATAAATTAATTTTAGATTTGTAGCTTATTTTATAAAAATATGATAAATTGTTTTTGATTTTTTGAAACACTTCGCCATCAAATAGCACCCAAGTTTTTAGCCATGAATAGCTTGAATTTGATGATTTCTATATCTCACATACAAGGGCATATACAGGAATTTATCCAGGGGGGGGGGGCTCGATACCCACCATTAACATTTGAAACTTCCCTGGAAACCATAGATTTCACTAATCCGTTTTAGCCTCCATTTTACACACCTCTGCTTACAAAGACAATTGATCTAAGTATACTATCAAAACTAGTCATTCATTTCAAGCTTCAATTTTTCTTGTTATCTAGCAAACTTCAGAATTCACTCTAAAACAACCTTACTGTCCCAGTAATTGTTAAATTATCTTTGAAAAATGTATACATTGATCAAGATGTAATCCCATAAGGGGTGGGGGATCCCCCTTTTAAAGTCTTCAACTTTTTACTCTCACTGTCATACACATTACTTGAATGATTGGAGGCGGGGAGGGGTGGGTAGTATACCATTACTCAAAAAAGGGAATATGTTTATTGTAAAAATGTAGAAACAAACTAAGGTTCTTCCTCGTCCCCTACACAGTGTTTACATCCAAACAAGAAATCAGGGTCCCACTCTCTCTTTATGGCCAGAAGTCTGTAAAATATATAAATTTCAAACTATTATCTCTTAAAATATTCTAGCTTTCTTTTAACCCTATGCAGTATACATGTACCCAGTGCTTAGAATCTATTTAATTTTGATCCAGATCCGGATCCTGGATCCGCACTGGAAAAAAATGGATCCAGATCCAGGTCAATTCTAAAAGATTTACTGAATTGTTAAAAAAAAAATTGTTAATTTTTGGTTTTATTTTGTTTGCTTATTTTTATCCTAAAACTTGATGAACCATTCAGAAATGAGGAAATTTTTAAAATCTCTCCTTTTTCAAAAATTCAGATTTCAGCTTTAGGAGTAAAAAAGTTTTATTTGCAGTTTTAGGTTGGTATTTTACCCCTTGGATGCAGATCTGGGGATTTGCATATTTTTGCGGATCAGGATCTAGGAAGCCAAAATCTTGTGGATCCTAAGCACTGCATGTAGCCTAATTTAATTTTTTCTTAAAAGGTAAGTACTAAGTTAATTTAGAATGATTTATTTGACTTCTTTTCAGTTTTCATGAATTTAGTTTGTAATATTTCTATTTGCCAAAACAACATGTGACTAGTATTTAAAACCTTTTACCTATCATAGATATCTTGGGTCCAAAATCTAGTCTGCCATTCTCCTTTTCCTAAGGAGTATTCAGATTCACTATAATAACTGCCAGAGCCAAATCTGAAATAATTATCTTTCAGTATTATTATTTTAGGATTTGTTTTTCCGGCTTTTGTTATTTCCAGAACAGTAAGATCAGATACAATTTTCTAGCAATTTTTAAGTCAAAAACACTTTTTAAGGAGTTAAATATGATTTTTGTTTTCTTTAATCTAAATACTTACTTGTAAAACTCAGGGCCTATTTCTTCATGAGCAAATTTTACTTTTTCCTCAAATGACATTTCATGTGTTAGGGAAATGTAGCTCAAAGCTGAAACATGCATTTTTGCTTGACGAAACATTGGGGAAACAGCTGTCCCTGTGTAATAGTCATCCTCTTCTCCAGTTGAAACTGTGTGCATAAACAATATTCCTCCAATGCATGGAGTCCATTGAAGATAGCATCTTGGGATCCAGTTATATGCCAGCATTTCTGCTGCAGCTGTATTTGCAACTGATGAAGAGTTCATAAGAACTGATGTCATAGGTTCTACCTCCCATTTTGGCATTACAGTTTCTGGCGTTTGATCTTCAATTTTTTTGAGGAATGTGTCATATGTTTCGCTTCCAATATCAACCATTTTGTCTGGACGAACAGATGAAAATGTTTCAAAGAAACTAAGAAAATCATTATCCTTCTCAGTACCAACAAACAAAGCTTCAAATATTGCAAATCCAAAATGATCATCATCAACAGAATATGGTGAAGCATAAGAACTCCAATATTTGCTTGATGTTCCACTCCATTTAAGATAATTATGGATTAGCTCTTGCAGTAATTCAGGTCCATCTTCAGCATAGCTACCAACCCAAGAGGCATGCCATTGGGTGAAGCAATTTTCCTTGCAATCATTTCTAGGTTTATGTAATTTGATTTTCATTGCTGTGATCACTCCCCATGGGCCTGCACCTCCTCCTCGCAGGGCCCAAAACAAGCTTGAATCCTCTGATTGGAGTTGTGTGCCATCTTGTAGCACCTGAGTGGTGCCCATTGAATTTGCAATAACCTTTGTTCCATTTGCAATAATCATTTCGACTTCTAGAACCTGATCAACCCCCATTCCGTAAGTTCCAACAAGCTGACCATGACCACCTCCCAAACTCCAGCCTACAATACCAACATTTCCTGCATGCCCACTTACAACAACTCTTCCTACCTGATTAGCTAGTTGGTGAACTCCAACATCTCCAAACTTACTCCAACTCCAGGTCATTCCAGATCCCAGACGAATAACACCTTCAGTATGATTAAAAACAGTTGAAGGTTCTAGGTTTATATCAGCAGTTCTAAGGCATGTTGTTCTGATAAGAATAGAATTTGTTGCAAGTCCACCATTTCTGTCATTAAATTCATGGCCTGTGCTGAACACAGAAAGAGCTATGGAATGGGATTTTGCAAATTTTATGGAACTGATAACATCTGCTTCTGTTCTAGCTAAAACTACAAAGTATGCCTTGTTTCCAGAAATACTATTTCTGGTAGTTAAGAGATTGTATGGCGTGATTTCTTCTTCTAGTTCTGGATACCAGATATTTTTCATTGGCTCCCCTTGCTGATCCTGAAAGTATATGGCAATAGACGAAATCATTTTTTCTTCCTTAGTTTCACTTTCTTGTTCTTGTTCATATTTACACTCTGTATCATATTTTTAGTTGATAACATTTCTGTTTTTTTAACTTGCGAATTTAATTTTATAATATTTGAAAAAAGAAAATCCATAAAGTATTCCTTAAATAAATCAGGATTCCAAATCTAAAATTAAAATGTTCCCTGCGACTAAGAAGAAGCACTTTTTATTTGCAATAATTTTTTTTTTAAAGAAAACAAACTACCATTAATGTTAAATTGTTTAAACAAACACATTTTTAAAACTTACATATGATGAAAATGTTGGCAAGTCATGACAGCCTTCAGTTTCTGATAGAGATGATACAAATTCCTCTATGATCTCCTAGATATGATATACTATGTTAAAGATTATGAATTATTTGCTCATTACATTTTTTCATTATTTACCTGGTTAGGCCAACATGCCTCTAAAGGTTGGCAGAACTTTGTCTGACAAAAAATCCAAGTATTTAAACTACAGTCAAAAGTTGAATAAAGTGCTCAAAATAAGTTTTGAAATTTTTCAAGTTTTTGCCAGTAATCATGGTTAATAAAAGTCCATTAGAAAATAATAATTTTCCATAAAAATGTCCTTTTTTGATGCACTGCATGTTTTGATAATATGCATAGGGAATCCAAAATGAACTCAGTTTGATAAAGAATTTTTCTTTTGAATATCTGAATATTACAAACTTTCCTCAGAGTAATCAAAATTGTCCTTAAAATTGGTAGCATATTGCCACTGAAGTCAGCAGACTTCTGAAACCTAATAACACTAAATTATGTTTAAAAGATAAGATAGTTTTAGTTAATGATAAGGATTTGGGCCTTGCATATGTCACTGTACAGGCACACTGAACAATAATAATTTTTTTAAAAATTTTAAGATAAAATGTCTAATGTCTATCTTATACAGACTAAATCAGTTATATGGGGAATGACCATGTTTAACAATTTTTTTTATTTTATTTTTTATCAATTTTGATGGTTATTATATCGTTAGAACTGACAAGGGTCAACCCAGACTGAAATATATTTTCAATAAATGTGGAACTAACATCTACTTATTTTACTCTACAGAGGTTTGGTCCATCACCATCACAGAATTTTAGATCAAGTTTATAGTTAAAGAACTGAGTCTTGCCACAAACTTAAATTTCCATTAATAATTTGATGAGAAATGATTTTTTTCTAATTTGAATAAGAAATGGTAATGATATTTGAATAGATAAAATGACAGGTTTTCCCCTGCCTGTTGGTAGCATGCCTACTGTTGGATATGGCTGCTGGAAGTTAGGAAAAGATAAAGCTGCAGACATAGGTGGGCAATAAGCATTTGATTATTATAAACAGCTCTAAATATTTAAATTATGTAAAACTGTTTTTAGTTGAAAAAGTGATCACCATGGGATACCGTCACATTGACTCCGCTTCTGATTATGGAAATGAAAAGGAGGTGAGCATTATACAAAGTTAAAGAATAGTTTTTTTACAACAAAAGGTATGTCAGAACCAGTAAAACTCCCTTTGTTTTTACTGATTTTGAAATAACAACATATTTTTAGATGTGACATCGAATAATTTATATCAAAACACATCATCTGATTTTATGATTGTAAATTTAGAAAATTGATAAAATTTAATAAGAATGGAATTGATTTAAACTTGGTGAAAGGTAGCCCTAACATTATTTCAATCATTAGATATCTGATTTTCCAAACTTACACTCTTTGTTAAGTTTGTATTATTTTGCCTGATTTAGCCTTAGTCTACAATATTATGTTCATTATTGTGAATTCTTGAAACCAGAAATACCAAAAATTCTTTGGCTATAAATCTAGAGTCAAAGAAATGGTTATAATTTTCAATTATCTGCATTCTAATACAACTCTAGCAATTGTTTAGAATAGACTGACAGTTGCCATGGAAAATTGTGATGTTAAAGTACATCATGATGTTTCCAAAATCCCACCACTTTGTGGTGTGTAAACTGAAGTAAGAATTCTAGGAAACATTAGTCATGTTGCAAACATGACACTCATTAGGAGGAGGAAAGGCGTTTCACTATTGGTAGATGTAGACAAAAGAGTTTACACTCATTGCAATTGGTGGCTGTAACAGTTCAGTCAGGTGTTGATATAGGAATTTGTCCCTGTTCAGATCTTTTTGTTACTTCACAAACTATTACTAGGTTTGGATTATGGCTGAAGTGAGTTTTATACAAAAGAATTCGTTCCCATGATGATCTGTCTGTTACGTAAAGAAAAACTATTTCGAAGTTTGGATAAGGGGTGAAGAGAGTTTTAGTGTAAGGAATATGTTCCCGAGCGGATTATTTGTTATTTTCAGACAATTTTAAGGTTGGATTAGGTCTGAAGAGAGTTATAGACAAAGGAATCTGTTCCCGGGCTGATCTGTTTGTTACTTCCAAACTTTGGAATACATACCACCACCCAGACAATGTTCTTCCTGCTTGCAAGCGAACTCTGAGGTTAATATCAATTAAGTTTTACTCTGAAATTAAATGTAAAAAATGGGAAGGAAATCGAAGAATAATTCATTTTTCATCTATTTTTTTCGTTTTCTATTCAATTAAATTGTTCTTTTAGTGAAATTATTTGCGTTCAGTGAAATCGTTTGCCTATAATAAAATCTTGTTCGTTATCTTTTCGTTCGTTTTAAAAAACAATATAATAAAGTTCTCTGAATGATCCAACTAGTTTATTGTTAATTTTTTTATCAAAAAATGTTGTACATTCTCAGAAACGATGTCCCTCTATACATGGAACACACGTTTTAAAAGTTTTGTTAATGCTATGAATTTAACTTTAACTTCATCAATAAAGGATAATTAACTTCTTATTGGTAACGTCAGCTATCCTAAAAAGCAACCATTGTTTTTGTTTTGTTTAGTGATCTCGGCCTTGAGTACCTGGACCTGTACCTAATACATTTCCCAATCAGTCTCAAGTTTGTTCCATTTGAAACAAGGAGAGGAGCAATATTTCATTGAATCACAAATAATCTTAAACTAAGTTTATTTTTGATGTTAAACAATAATTTTCATAATTAACTACCCCTTCCAACAAAATTAACCCTAATATGACTTACATGGAGTCCACTATGTAATGGGGTAAAGCATTATATTTTATAATTAATGGGAGGTTTTTTTTTCAGAAAACTACTGGAAAACAGAATTACCTTGTATGCAAAGTACTGTTTTACGTCTCGTATTAAATTGATGCAAAGATGATCATGTTATCAAAATTCCCATGATATATAAACCCCCATTCGAAAATTGTACTCTATGTACATTGTACATAGGTATCCTCCCGAATGGTTTCATGACCCGGATGCTAAGGTATTTTTAGAGGGATTGTCAAAGTAGTTTCAAGTGATTTTCTATTTTAAGAGTTACAAACCTGATAGACCACAGTACTTTTCAAATCTTAATCTGCGCAAAAAGGCTAAAAATATTCTTTTTTTTCTATCTTAAAATAATAAAACCGACTTGAGGAACTATTCACCTGAAAAACAGGAGAAACTGCCAAAATTTAATATCATTTCTAAAGATAAAAACGACTATATTTGGTGGTCCTTTTAAGACATATAGATATATGTAAAATAAGGCCAAAATAAGATACTGTAGAATGTTGCAAGATGATCCAAATATATTAAAAAATAAATGTTTTAAAAAATTAGAAACACTAGGCCGGGTTGTCTTTCAACCTAATTAAACGGTAGGGGTTTCTTTTGTGGGTCAAACTTTACAAATCATAAATGCTTTTAGTTCTATAAATGTTAGGATAAAAAAATGGAGTTTGAACAAGTTCCTGTGCAAGATACTTGGAGAGCGATGGAAAAATTAGGTAAAAACTTTTGTAAACTATAGAAGTTAATGATCATTTTGCATATATAGTCTCGTATGTATTTCAAGTGCCATTTGATTATTAAGAAAGAAAAAATATATGAAACAAGAAAATTGGTTTGACCCTCAAGGAAAAACCAGGATGTATTTCAAATAATTAGAATTTAGAAATAGATTTCTTTTACACACTAATGCATAATGTAGCGAATGTAGTAAATCTTTTAAAAAAATGTGTTTTTATCTATTTATATTTTAGTGGATGCAGGGCTTGTTAAGAATATTGGAGTTAGGAATTTTAAAAAGATTTAGATATTTTATTTTTTTAAAATTATTTATTAAATATTTAAGATGTTTTTTTTAAGTAACAAATATTTTCTGCTCTTTTTTGCTGTAGAAAATTAAATTTTTCCAGAAATGCGGTAAACTGATCACTTAGAAGTTTGGAAAAGCATTTAGTACTTCTTCCAAAATGTATTTAAAAGCTCTTTTTTTGACAATCTACTTAAAACTGTAGTAATTGGAATTGTCAAGGACTAAGAGACCTCCTTTCCTTTGCTAGAATCAAACCTTCAGTTCTCCAGGTCAGAACATGTTCAAGTTATTTCTTTTTTGGGCGTAAAACTTGCTTCATAAATCCATTTTAAATTTTTTTATTAATTGATACTTGGCATAGATAACTGATAACATACCATATCATGGCTGTTTTCAAATTTTCCCCTCAACCTTGCATAAGTTGCCAAATTTATCTTTTTTTTTTTGGACATTGCACCTTTTGTGCAGTTGTTTATTTATATTTAGATTGAGTTACACCCATACCTACAGCAGCCTAGGCTGGTCAACTTTGCACAAAGCAATGGACTAGTTGTAACTGCTTTCTCTCCCATGGGACATGGGGCCTCATACTTCAATCAGGTTTAGTTTAGTGTATATCCCATGATAATTTAAAGACGACCTTGAGTATACAATTGAGTGTCAAGGAAGGGCTTCAGATAATCATACAGGTCGTCCCACATCTAATTAGATTGTGAAAAGCTCTAAATTGCGATTTCAAACTTAAATAATACAAAAAACCCGTAACAAGTAAGACATTTTGTAATATCTCTGTAAATATTAATAGCAGCCGGTTCTTGAATGTAGACTCATATAATTGACTAGGAGCAGGAAATGAAGTCCGATCGTCGAAATCAAAAAAACGCAATTTTTGACACCCTGTTTTGACATCAAAGCTAGAGGATTTTTTTTTCTCTGTTTTTTTTAGTGTATTCTGGTGGTCATTGGGAGTATATATTAAAAAATTGGGCTATTAATGTCCGAGGCCGGGTTCTTTTATCAAATAATCCCTCGCAGATTAAAGAGAAATAAAATATTTGTTTAGAACTGTTCTACATTGAACGAGAAGATAATCCAAGAGATAGCGACGGAGAAGGGGGTGCAACCTGGACAGGTACCCCCTGACTAATTTGTTAGGGGGGGGGGGGGGGGGGGGTTGACTAGCATGGATTTTACCTGTTTTTCAAATTTTCTTTAATCGATTCATTTAGATTTTTTTCTTATCCATACAACGAGTACTTTGGGCATATATTTGAGGAGGAGGGGGTCATTTCAAGTTTTTGTGACGGGTGTAAGACTTCACTTTGTGGCAGTTTTATAGACAAAGATACAATTTGTCGCAGATTTTATCAACATAGATGCAATATACTGTTTTGGCATATTTTATTTGTCTTAATGTTGTTATGTGGAATTTTTTGAGATGTATGTGTACAATGTGCACCCAAATTTATCCTTGACAAAACTTTAAGAAAAAAGGATAATTTAGATCTCTTTTAGGTCATTCTCAGGGAAGTCTTGAATCTTTTGTGCCAGATTTTATCAACATAGATGCAATATACTGTTTTGGCAGATTTTATTTGTCTAAATGTTGTTTTGTGGAATATTTTGGGGTGTATGTGCACAATGTGCACCCAATTTTATCCTTGGCAAAATCTATAGAAAAAAGGATAATTTAGATTTCTTATAGGTCATTCTCAGGGAAGTCGTGAATCTTGATGGATAGAAAATAAAATTGAATTTCAAAAAAGTTGAATAAAAAGTTATTATTTCTTAACCAAAATTGTCTGATCTATTTCGATAATCAAATTTTATAGAACTTTAACCTCGTAAGTAAAGTTTAAAAACAGAAAAGTCAATAATTAGTGTCAATTGGTTTTTGAATTAATATTTAAATCGAGACTTACAGATGGGGTGTTCAAAGAGGGTGTGCAGTTATTCCTAAGTCAGAAAATGATGATAGGTAAATTTTTTACTTAAAAGAAATTGTTTATTTATTTGATTAAGTATCACTATCAAATTGCATTAATCTCTTTAAGCCTAGAAACTATCAAAAATAAAATTGAGTAACAAAATTTACGAACAATTTCAAATAAACATTTCTTTTATAAGCGTTCGCTAGAAACTTCTTTTGACTGATTTCTCCTGGAAGCCACAACCATGTCTGCATTTTTTGTCTCTAGATCCGAGTTTACCGTATTATTTGGCTCCATAGATCCGATTTTGCCACATTTTTTGGGCTCCATAGATCAGATTTTGCCGGATTATTTCGGCTCCATATAAGATTTTTCCGCATTATTTGGCTCTATGGATCCGATTTTGCTGCATTATTTTGGCTCTATGGATCCGATTTTGTATTTGGATTCAAATATTTTACATGACAATCAAGTGTCCAAAAAAACAGAGTTTGAGTACAATTAAATCCACCTGAGCTGAAAACTTTAGAACGGTGGATATCAGGATTAAGGCTTAAACCACTCTTTTTCTTAATATCCAGTTTAAATATTGCTTGTTCTCCACATGAATTTAAACTCCAGAGAAGCAACATGATCAGACAATTGGATATTTCATTCTAAAGTTTTCAGCTCAGGGCAACCTTTCAACCTACATAGTACATAAACATGGGAGCAATTCTGTTATTGCTAAATAAGGTCTTCATGGAACCAAAATCATACTTAATCCCATTTATCCTTTTTAATTAATATTAATTGATTTAATATGGAAAGTATGAAAATTGAAAATGTTGTCTTGTTTCCAAATAATGTTTGACAATTTCAGAATCCGGCAAAATTTGGACGTAACAGGATTCGAGCTAACTGATGAAGAAATGAAGAAAATTGCAACTATTGGTAAATCAAGAGGGAAATATATTTTAAGAATTGTCCGCCAGAAAATGATTTCGAAGGTTTTAGGACAAGTGTAGAAAAAACCATTGGATAGTTCTTTTCTGTGCCCAAAATTATTTATTTATCCTTATTCTGTTAAAAAAGAGAAAAGGTGAAAAACACCTATTAATTACGAAGGTAAAAATTAGATGAGAAGAAGGGGGGGGGGTTCTTTTACATTATTTATAAAAAAAATCAGAAAAACGATATTGAAATCAAAGATGAAAAATTAATTAAGTTTTGTAAATTGAAGGGATTGAAGTTAAAAATGAAGAGAAATAAGAGAAACCCAAATTTAATTTGGAAAGGTGTATTAAACAAAGTGAAGGATTTTTGTTTGATTTTTATTAGATGTTAACTTCATTATAACGAATCAAGGGATTTTACAGGATTATGGGCTTTAAGCAACGAACGTTAAAATAAGAAAAAGGATCGATTCCATTTGTTACCTATTTCTCGATTAAAATATTTATTCCTTAAAAACTTTAAAATTTAACGTTCTATAGTTTGCAAACATACAGGGTGACTTTAATTTTACGTTGTTTACATATAATTGTTTCCTAATTCAATTTACATTTTTCCCAAACACTCCCTTTAAATTTTCTATTTTTAGATCGAAATATGAGGTTCAATGATCCTGGCGTATTTTGTCCGGCTGCCTTCAATACAGAATGTCCAATTTGGGATTGAAGAGTCGTTCTTGATTCCAGGGACCGAATTTAATTAATTTGAGCTACAGTGCTTAACTATACCTACTGCCGGTTTAAACACCACCGAGTTAAAGTTAAAGATTAACGAAGGAGTTGAATCGGCGATTCAAATTTGAACCGGCGTTGGGCAGTTCAGCGACTCTGCAAATTCATTAAATTCGGTCCCAGGTTGGATAATTTTATAACTTAAAGATGTTTAATTTTGAGAATATCTGTGACGATAATTTTATCTTGAAATATAGATTCAGTTTTTCCTATTTCACAAATGAAAAAAAGAGGAATTAATAAGAAATTAAATGTTTCAATACTTTGAAAAAAATTTGATTTTTAACATATGGACTTAAATGAATATGTTTTTAATTAGCGAGATTTAATGAAACATGCTGTAGGCCAAAACCCAGCTTTTTAAAGTAATAAGCCGTGCTTAGGATCCACACTGGAAAAAATAGATCCGGATCCAGGGAGGGATGGAACCCCCGGACGCCATGAGCCTCCGCTATGCAGACACGAGCCTCCCAGATTTGCTTGGCAGACCAAGCCTCTGCTATGCAGAAATGAGCATGCGCAACACTTCAAAATGTGCCTGTAATACAGAAGGATCTTTTAAACTTGTATTTTGAGTTGAAGTAAAAGATTTTTTCAAATTTCAGACATAGTGGCATGAGAGATTTCTCAAAGATGAGAAGTTTTTGTCGATTATCATTAAGAGTTCTAATTATGACTAATAAAAATGTTGTATATGAAAAGGAAAATATTTAGAGAAAATTTTTTTTTTCATCTTTCTTAATCTTGGATTTAAGCGATACCTTTTTTGTAGTTCAAATTAAATCTAGAAAATTTTTATCATTCATTTAAATCTTAATCTTGCTCTGCATAAGCAAATTTCAATACTTTCGCTATTCTCACACAGCTACATTTTGACCTCGGAAGAAAAGAAAAAACGACCCAACTACAGACACATCACTAACTATATGTCGGGACGGTTGTGTTTGGATATCGGGATCAAGCAGTGATCTAGTTCGATCTTTGATATTGTGCAACTTTACAGATATACCAACGAGGTTATAGTATATAAAAGAATGATGTACGCTAAACCTTTACTAATTGTACAGGCCATGTAATTCACTTCCAAAGGTCAATCTGTATATTACAGTACTCGAGGGTGATTTCTGAAAATATTTAAATGGAGAACTTGTTTTCCATATAACTATTAAATCCACTACTCCTATATCGTGTGCAGGATTCCATTTTCACAGGAAGACGTACATTTACAGTCTTACAGTGCAATATTTCATCGTTAATAAACGGTTCTGAGTAAAATTCAAGTTACAAAACCTCCCCATACACTTGTACTCAGAAAGCGTACTGCATATTTGATGTTTGTACTGTATGAATATAATCTCTTTATATTCATTATCAGTAAACTGTTCTTAGTGTACACTCAGGCTAATACACACGGAGAGGTAGTTAAGATCCAGCCTCCCTGAGATGTACCGATTAATTTAATTCCTCTTCGATGGTCATTAATCGTATCCTGAAGGAAAACTCTAATTTAGAAACCAAGAATTAAGTTGCACAATTTGAAATTACCGCATTCCATACCCTGATTGGAGATCACGTGTTCAAGATTAACAATATCCAATTTCATATCAACCTTTTGAAAATATATTCGCCACTTTTTCAGTTAAAAAATTTGCCTAATATACAGAAATTGTCTCTAGTTTTAAGCTCTCATTCATTGGACAAAACAGATATCAATAGACATGCTTCTGGCTTAATCTTCAGGAATAAAGCTTAGATAACGCTAAAATCTTCAAATGTTTAAACGATCCAAGCTAAAAAGAAACCCCGAGGGTCGTGCTTTTTTTAAAAACAAAAAACCATGATTTATTGTGAGGTATAATTTTTATATTTACAACTAATATAAAAGTTTACAATTCAACTAGAGAAACTGGATTTATTACAGTGAATATAAAAACTGAATTTACAGTGTGTGTAAATGTATGCATATAAAAATTAAGTTATCTACAGTTCAACTGGACGTTTTTACTGGAATTATTTTAATGCGTGATCGATACAGTTTCTAAAAAATGATCAATTCAAAATAAAATCTAATTATTTTAAATCATGAACAATTCTTTGCAAAAGTTTATGAACAGTGAACAGCCACTGAACAGGAGTTTAGGAACACAATAAATATAAAGCTTTTCCTTGCATAAATTACTTTTGAAAGTATATACGTATTATTAGTTATTTTGATGAAAATATTATTATTATTATACCTGAACAAGATAAAACTTGCTTAAATAAAGAAATATTTTGCATAGAAATAATTCATTTCAGATTTGGTTTTGCTCAAGCTAATAAAATAATTTCGTTTAGGCATGTTATGTTAAACAAACGAACCCCGTGTTAGATACTGAGAATAAATTATGAAACTAGGAAGGAAACCGTGGTTTACACTTCCACCCACTTTCTTTCCACAATCTATTTGTCTGATATCTTGTTCACCGCCATCTTGATTTCCGTCGTCTTGTTTTCCATCGTTTTTTTCCCCGCCATTTTGGCTTTCAACATTTTGTATCATGTACCTTATACCAGCAACACAAGTTGTGAAAAATAAAATGTTGGAAAATTTTAAACCCGCGAAGAAATGAACCTTAAGACCAATTTATTCAATTCGTCAATCATAATCCTCATCAATAACATCTCGTCTTATCAGCGGTTTACTTTTGACAGCGAGGGCTCGCGAGCCGGAGCCTAGGGAAGCCGAGCTTAGCTGAGCTGAACTTAAGCTCCGGATAAAACTGTGAGATCCTGAGTCCAGGAGAGGTAGCCCCCGAGGACATGTTTCCTTTAGACAGGAGCATATTTAATAAAAAAAATTTGCCTTTAAAGTACAATTTAATTGGCCCCCCCCCACCATAAAAAAAAAATCATCAAAGTCATTCCCCCAGGTATGATTCTTAAAATTATACAACCCTCATTATCTTTCATTTTATTTGTGAATTTGGGCTTTTAATTTACGTGTGGTAAACAAGCTCCAAGGCTTTAAATTCAATTTTAACTCATAATTTACAAATCAAAGTATTATTAATGCCTCTGCCTGTGCTGTGCTGAGTGAAGTTGAGGTTAGAAGATTTGTTGAATTTGATCCTTTACAAGTGGAAGTGTTTGATTCGACAAGAATGGAAGTGTTTGAACCTCCAGGAATGGAAGAGTTTAAACCTCCAGGAATGGATGTGTTTGAACCTCCAGGAATGGAAGTGTTTGAACCTCCAGGAATGGAAGAGTTTAAACCTCCAGGAATGGATGTGCTTGAACCTCCAGGATTGGAAGAGTTTAAACCTCCAGCAATGGAAGATTTGTGAAGATTTGAGGTTTCTAAGCTTGAGATAGTGAAGGAAGGTGAAGAAGTTTCTAATAGTGGCTGAATGATAACGCTTGTAAGAGCAACACTACCAGTCTTGTCATCTATACTGTGCGTGGTGAGCGCCCCTGGGGTCAGAGTTATCAATCCAGGATTAGATGGGGTAGAAGTGCTAGTTGAAAAGCCATTTGAGCCGTTTAAATGAATACTGGAGACCTGAAAAAATAGTTATAAGGTTGCGCGAGAGGGGGGCCGGAAAAAAGAATGTTAATTAAAAATTTCTTTTAATTTATTCAAATTGCTTGATATTACTGTGTCTGGTCTGACAATAAAACAACTTCTATGCAATCAACATCTGTTTTAGCATTCTTTTTAATTTGCAATGTTTTTCTTTAAAAAAAGATGAATTTCGTGATAAAACCCTTAACAAATTTGTATTATATTTGCATTCATGTTCTAAAATCTATATAATTTAGATATTTTCCAGATTAATCTAAAGTATTAATTTTCTTCCTTACTCAGTTTGGACAACACAATACAGTTAATGGGGGGAAGAATTTTTTTTTATATGTTATAGAACTAGCTGGAGTAACCGTCGATGCCAGATTTAGGTTATTATTTATAGTTATAATTATTCCCGCTTGGTCTTCACTTGATTTCAAATTTCAAGATGTCACCCCCGTAGCGACTCCCAGGTTTCTTAAGAAAATTTCAGCCAACTTGGTCCAGTCGTAGGACCAGCTTTAACGAACAAAATTTAATGCGCTACTAACTTTGTTAAATAGATAACACATGAAGAATTATTTATTTACTGACTGGATCAACAGGGATGTATATTATCTTGAAAAATCAATATCCCCCGCCCCCCCCCCTCTGTAACTATTTTTTTTTCCTTAATTGTGTTTATAGAGCTTATTTATAGATGAATTAGGGAAAACAAATGATTTTTAGAGAAAAATAAATAAAATGTTGTATAACAATTGTAAAATAGAATAAAAAAAACTTTTTGACTGATGAATTCCAATTTTTTATTTCCCCCCGGGATCCACATCTAATTGATTCCAATTACTGATTACACCCGTTTAACCTGGGAAACTGAAGAAGAACTAGAACTTTGTGAACTTGATGTTGATGTGTAGAAACCAGAATCTGTTGCAGAAACAAGCATTCATTTTTATGGTGAAGAAAAACAGCTAAAAAGATCATCTCTCCGCGTTTAAAAGCATCAGTTATGTTTTTTGGGGTTTATAGATCAAGAAGGCATTAAAAACGTAACTACTAAGGATGGGTCCGTTGGATCCGGAACATTTCGGTTTCCAGGATCAGAAAAAATATCCGGATTAACGGATCAGGATCCAAGGGGCAAAATATCGACGAAAAACTGCAAACAAAAATATTTTACTCTCAAAACCCTAAATCTGAACTCCTGAAAAAGAGAGATTGTCAAAAATGTCCTTATTTCTAAATAGTTTCAAATTATCACATAAAAAAATATGCAAATTCTTTTTTTGTTAAATAAGCTAGTAAATCTTAAATGTCAAATCCTTCTTCCACAATATAATAAAGAAGCAAATAATAAGCAAAAGAAACGTAGAAGAAGAAAAACACTTAATTAAATTAAAATTAATAATTTTAAGAAGCATAGATCGGAAAGTTAATGATTTTTTTCGATATGGGTTCATTAGATACTTGAACCGCTGAATACAGTCACTTGAACAAATTTTATTTAAAGAAAATGTTTATTTAACTAGTTTAACACGTTTTTATGATATTCTAACAAATATCTTTTCTGAAAAACTGTTACTTGCGTGTAATAAGCGATTTTAACGAAATTATCGTTTCTAAAAGTCACATTGATATTAGTGATTTGATTTACCCAAAAAAAGCAACTATTTGAATGAGTTTGAAAAGTATTTTAAAATGTATTGAATTTAGTACTTGGTGCAAGGTGGATTTGATAAGTTTTATAATTTGCTCCAAAGTTTCACTCTGACACGAGCGGGGGAAGGCAGGCGGCCATGAGCCACCACTACTTCCCCTTCCGTACCACCACATTTGACTCTTCCGGGCAAAACTACTTTTTTAAATGGTATATTTAGGGCCTTTAAAGTGTGATTTTTAAAAATCCAGCCGCGTCACGCAAAAAAGCACATGAGAAGGACTAAACTAATCTAAATGTCTCTCTACAGAACTCATGTACACCACAAGTACTCAATGACACAAGAACAGCCAATGTTCACAACCGACCTAGTAAATCTATATAATAGGAATCTTTAAAACATCTCTGTACATTTATATCTTTCAAGATGAAAAATTTCGTCTTATCTATCTTTATCTATATTATAATTAATTGATTTGATTTCCAAATTCATTGCTTAAAAAACCGGAGACATTTGATAAGCGCAATGCGCTTCATCTGAACCAATCTTCACCGCACGAACTGTTAACATTTAAATGCTTGCTTCCCTGTTATTGAGATTGTTCCATGTGTGTGTAAGCCGATAGAATGTTTAGGCCCATTCGTAGCACTGCTGGTTGTACAAGTTGGTGTACTACTTGGTCCGTTTGACATATTAGTACTTGATAGTTCATCGGAACTGAAACTAGGTCCCAAACTCTTTTTCATCTCATCCTCAGTATTCAAGAGTTTTCTATCACTTTTATTGCCCGGGTAGTAGCCAACTTTATTATCCCGGCCACTTGGAAGCCCAGAGAAAGCAGGCGAGGATAAAGATCTGGCTAAACAGGAAACTCTGGTCAATGCCGACATAGCTGGCGTATCATGGGATTTGGGGCTCACTGAATTCTGAAACTGTCCGCTAGGCGTCACTTTAGGTGAGTTAGAGTAGGAGAAACTATGCTGTAAGGACGGATGGAAGGAATGAGAGGAAAATGAAGATGGACGGATTTCCACAGGGTCGATTTGAATAAACGCACTGCTCTCAGCACCGCGGGAATATATAGGGTTGGCCACGATGACACCGTTTGACTCCCTAGAATTATCATCGCTGGAGTCAATCACTTGAACGTCGTCGTCATCATCGTCGTCGACATACTTCCTCTTCTCGACAGGTCGACCCGGCCCATTAGAACCATTTGCCTAAATTAGAGAAAATATAAATCCCTGAACATGGTTTAAATATTTTGTAAGTTATTCTAATCACTTCACCCTGACAACAAATGATTTTGTCAAATTAAGGTTTGAACACCAGCGAGGCTGCCTTAACCCCCCCCCCCTTATTTTTCTAAACAAAATTTCAAATAAAGGTAAAAAATTCAGACTTAGGGGGAAAAAATTGGTTTTCCAAATTATGTATATTTAAGGAGGGGCTTTAAAGTCGCATTTGTTTCTTACAATTTAAATTTAAAAAAAAACATATTCCTCTCCACTCGTTATTATGAAATATTCTTGCAAATACATTCTGGACATTAAATGTTTATTTTATGAAGTATAATACCGTGTCATTAAAGCTTTAGGGGTGAGAAAATTGGCCTTTAAAAGGGCTTGTAGCATACCTTTGGCGGTCTTCCACGTTTCCGTCCAACCCCCCGAACCATCGACTGCGTAGAGGTATTGGAGGGTAATTGCGTCATGTACTGCGTAGATCCTGGTATTTGTGTGACGGTATCAATAGATTTCCGTTCTCGCGGTGCTCCTCCTGCCTGTATTCCACCCCGACTCCGAGGCTTACTAACTCTGCACGAGAACAACATTATTTCATGGTGTGTAAATATTGTTGAAATATTGTTTTTTATACTTCCCTCTTCCCAAAATATTATTCAGTGAAACTTATTCAATGCAACGGAAAAAATGATAAATTGATTGATAAAAAAATCAATGAATACTTGATTTAATAAGTAAATATCAATTTGAATGAAATAAAATCTAAAAACTAATTGGACAAATCAAATCATTATTCGACATATTGAAGTTTTGATTAATTGATTGCAATATTTAGTTGATGCTTTACGATTATCATAAAATTGATTGATTTGATATTATGATTTATGATTGATTAACTTAATGATTGCTGGATTAATTAACGAACTTAATTAATCGGTTTATAATTTATTTAATAATTACCAAATAAACTAATTTGATTGATAGATGTTAAATTTATGAATGAAGTTTATGGTTAGTCCATGATGTATTAAATGCTTGATAAAATTTGTAAAACTGAGCTGAAAAAACTTTAGAATTGTGGATTTTGAGATTGCAGAATCCGAACAGCCAATTAGAAGTCGAGAAATTTGGCGCACAATCAATACGAGAACTCATTGGTCGGAACCCAGCAGGGAAACCAAAAGAGAAGATTAAGGCGAAATTCAAAAGTGTGCTAATCAATCGCGATTAAGAGTATTCATACAAGAGTTTTCAGTTCTGATTACTTAATTATTAAATGCTAATTAGAATTAATGAAATTAACGAATAAATTAAATGATTAATTGAAGGCTTCATTATATTCATGAAATTAATGAATTGGTTGAATGATTATTGATTAATCAACAAAATAAAATTTTTTAATTGATTGAATGTTCTATGTGTATTAAATGAATAATGAAAAATATTAAAAATCTGAAATTGATTGATTATCGCAGGATCGATAAATAAACTTGATTTATTATTCACTGGTTGATCAAATAATGAAATAGATTGTACTTGATATATTTGATACTTGCTTATATTCTTAAAACCTTTTTATAGCTTTGATCTTTTAAATAAAATTAATGAATTGATAAAATTATTCAATAGTTGCTTAATTGATACTAAAGAATATATTTACTTAATTCATATGAAAATAACCATTAAATGCATGATTTAACGATGAAAATTGATCAATGGATCAAATGCTCAATTTATAAATGAAATCGTTTAGTATTGAATACTTTTATTAATGCTTACTTTTTAAAGCATGAAAATGTTAAAAATAATTGAAAGAATTTTAAACGCTTGATGAAAAGAATAAAATTGATAAATTGATTATATGAAATATTGAGAAAATAATATTAATTGATCAAATTTGATTACCTAGGTTGCAAGGGCAAAATATCTCCCTCTGCTTCAAATTCTTCCTCCTTTAAAATAAATATTTTAGTAACCAAATATTTAGGGCTGCCGTTAGAAGGTTTCCTACAACGTCTTAGGTCAGCTATACTACCAGAAGGTCCGGTAGGTCACGTTGGTCAATTACAACGTCTTAAAGGTTAAGTAGGACAAGTAAATGGAGAGCAAGTAGATATATATAGCTACTTTAAGATTGTGTAAATCAAGAAAGTCTTTATATATATTTTACCTTTGGGTCAGGTACAAGTAGGACAAGTATGTTACCTGGAGGTCAGGCAGGTCAAGAATATAATACCTGGAGGTCAGGTAGGTCAAGAATATAATACCGGAGGTCAGGTAGGTGAAGATTAAAATACCTGGAGGTCCGGTAGGTCAAGAATAAAATACCTGGAGGTCAGATAGGTCAAGAATATAATACCTGGAGGTCAGGTAGGTCAAGAATTTAATACCCGGAGGTCAGGTAGGTCAAGAATATAATAACTGGAAGTCAGGCAAGTCAAGAATATAATACCCGGAGGTCAGGTAGGTAAAGAATATAATAACTGGAGGTCAGGTAAGTCAAGAATATAATAACTGGAGGTCAGGTAAGTCAAGAATATAATACCTGGAGGTCAGGTACATTGGTTACAAGGTCTCTCAAAAAATCAAATCTTCCCTCTGTCTCAATACACAGTTTTCTAAATCAACCAATCTATCAGTAAATCTATCAATATCCAGAATTATTTACTTTTAAAGAAAGAAAACGATATTATCTTTACTTTATTGATTAGATTAAAATTAAAATTTAAGTGAATCAGGCATGCCCCTGTTTTTTTAAAATGGGAGCTCACTTAAAATTGCAAAGATAATCTTTTAACGTTGCACTTACAAAATACTTAATTCTTTAAGGACTTAAATCATTCCAGTGAATTTGGAACAACAAATGAGTTGAATACTAAAATACGACTTTGAACACTTCAAAACTACGTAACTTAGAAACGTATAATGCCCTGTATACAAACAAATAAATTTTCAACGACATAAATACGTTAGATTAAGAAATTATTAAATGATTTGGAACAAATTAAAAAAATAAGACGAGTACTTACAAATGACTAGGAGTGAGTGTTCTGGCTCCTCTACGGGTTGTGATATCGTTTGCTCTACTTAAAAGAGTTTCAGCAAACAGTTCCAGAGCTCTGAAACACGTAGAATCTGTAAAAGGGTATATATTTTCTTTAACAATAATCCCTCCTTCCCAGATGTTAAAGTATGATGAGAGCGCAAATAAAAAATGGGAGTCTTTATTATTGCTGTATTGGGAATATATAAAAAAAATGAGTTTTAGGAGAAAAAAATAGCTAAGAAAAGATAAAAAAAAACTCAAGGGACATCAAAAGTTACCTCCCTCCCCCTCCCCCCACCACTATCATCTTTCTTGAAAAGTAAATGTGGAAGGCAATATATACAAATCTTTAAGGAGTTCTTAATCCAATTCTTCATGAATTTAAATGTAGCCACATATTCCTATTTTGGGCCCAAACGAAATATGTTTGATGTATAGATACCTTGAAATAATTACAGGGACAGGGGCTGCCACCTTCCCCACCTCCTCGTCTGTTTGCATTATCTTCTTAATACGCGCCTACAAAAGGAAATTGCAGATAATTACCCCATAAAGAATCAGACCTTATAAGACTGTCAACGCTCGAGTAATCATTTTTTACAAAGTGTGAGTTTGGCACATGAGTATATCTATATATATAGTTTGCTTGTCTGTCTGTTTGTAACCAATGAACGTCAAACGACTTAACCGATCGGGTTCAAATTTTGTGTGGGGCCTTGCACGACCCCAGGGAAGGTTTATGGATGCTTAAAATTACAAAAGTATTGTCTAACATTTTTTATTTTTGTAAAATTAAAAAAAATGCGCGAAAAAACATTATGAAAGCCGCAAACTGAACTTGTTTGTTGTTGTTTTGTACTGTTTAAAGAGAAGATGCTCACAGATAGAGCCACACTTAAAAATTAAATTATATATATATTCAAAGCTGCACTAGAAAAACTGAATATTTAACCACTGTGCCAGATTCAGTGTTTGGGAACCAACTAAGATGAATCCATGTATGAATGAACTCTGTTCCGAGAGGACTCCAAAAGATGTCTGCCCCATGGACCCTGAGGGTCTCCTGCGGACTACAACTCAAGTATACAAGTAAGTAAATTAGAGGATAGGCGCGAATAGCCTAGTAAATCATAAATTGTCTCTTATATCTGCATTACACATAAAAACAACACAATTTAGAATAAAACCAATTTTCTCAGACAAGTAACTATTTCTAAGGGTCACCGGAAGTAATGTCACCAGTTTTTTTTCAGTTTGGGGAAAATATCCCCATAGATAACCCCTTTTTGCATAAGGCCTAATTTAGAGATATTCCAAAAATATGTCGGAAAGTTAATGATNCTAGAAAACGATTTTAGGACACCCCCTCCCCTCCTATTAATTTTGTACATGATTTCAGCAAATATATTGTTATTTACTTTTTATTCTTTTGGGGTTAGGTTAGGTTAAGACAATTTATGGGCCGAGCGCTGCGGCTAGGACAGCCTAGAGGGCCGAGCGCTGCGGCTGGGACAGGCCTAGGGGGCCGAGCGCCGCGGCTAGGACAGGCTATGGGGCCGGCCGCTCCGGCCACATGACCACTGATAACCATGTAAAAAATTGATAGGAGGGGGAGGGAGAGGGGGTTCAAAAATCGTTCTCTAGGAAATTATCTATTTATGAGAAAATGTACACAGTTGAAATAGAAGATGGACGGGAAGCGCCCTGACAGCCTTATTTGTAATAATTGTAGATAATAGAGCTATTGTATGAAATAAATGTCGATAAGGGAAATCTAGTAACTGGTTGGCATCTAAACACAAACATTTAAATATGCTTTATAATTAGAAAATTTACCGGGGGAAAGCGTGCATTGTATTTTTTCTTTTTTCCAGGCATTCTCAGCTTCTCATGGTCTGAAACTAACTTAAATCATACAAAAAATCAGACAATTTGTTGTTAGAAACGATTTTAAGGATTTACTATGCAACATAAGAGGTTAAAAGTATTCTAACTGTACTGAAAAAAGGTTTATGAACAATATTTGTTTTGTGGGAATATTAAAATACGTTCTTGAAAATCAAAAAATACGTTTATAAATATTATTTGTAGAGCAGTTGCTCTTTACCCTAGTAGTGTATTCAAAGTTGTGAATTGGACGATGGAAAGAGTCAAATTTATATCCAATTTTATATTTATATCAGGGCGTTTTCTAAATTTTCAACTTTACAAAATATTACTTCAATTAATGATTCTAACTAGATATGTATATTTATTGTTTTCAAAGAAACCTCTGCTTGGTAAAATTTTGAATTTGTATTTTTAATTTGACCAAATTTGGCTTTTCCAAAACGGATATTAGCTTGACTATATCTATAAGCAATGTGTAGTGTACGGAGTATTGTCGGACTAATGTTTATACGTTCCAAGGTTTCGTGATTTTAATATATTTAGATAATTTTTTAGATAATGGTTTATATTGTAGTTCAAAGAAACATGGAATCATGAAAATATGGAAAAAGACAATCAGAAAAATGCTAGTTGCACGGACATTTTTAACCGGCGTATGGGGGAGGGGGGTTGGGGGCATTTTCAAATCCTTGTTGGGAGCCATGAATCCTCTTTGAGAATCAATTTCACTTTTCCAGGGGGGAAGGGGAGGTGTTATATGCCCGGCCATAATATACAGGGTGTCCCACGAAACATGACAGTAGTTAAATTTTGAATGTCGTCTTCCATACACTATATTAAATATTTAATTAAGACTGTTTGCAGTTTATTTCGTTTAAAAATCTTTTGCTAAAATATATTTTACTCTAAAAAGTTAATTTTACTTTGTTTTCTTCATAATATTGTCTTTGGTATTAAACAACCTAACAAATTTTGGAAGAAGACATTCCAAACTATTTACCGATCATGCTTCGTGCAGACACCCACTCTCCACTGAACGCGACAATATCTTTGCAATAGCTAAGCAAAACTTGTTATGCGATTAACATAGCCTAGCGCCTACGTCTGTAAATATGTGAAAACCTGTATTGTGATTAACTTATAAACTTATATATATATATATTTATATATATATAGATTCCGTACAGTCGTCTCTGAAGTTCCATCCTTTGTGGGTAACCCTGAAGCCTATGAAGCTAGGGGCGTACAGTAAGGTTTAGTCTAGGGGGTGGGGGGGATTTTTTTGGTCGAATCAGAACCAATCCTGACTTGGGTTCTATCTAAGCCCGAGTTTGGGTTTAGTCGGGTTTAAGCTTTTAAAATCTCATCTCTGGACACAATCTATCTCTTTACTCTCAATGTCTTAACTCGGACATGATCTTATCAACTTGTTGGCTAAACAAGGAACGATTTCTTCTCTCATAGTAATCTATAAAGTGCAGTATTTCCAACTGACGTATATTTAGATATCTATGTAACAGGTTAAGTTTAATGTACAAGATAAGCCCATATATATATATATATTACTATGAGAGAAGAAATTGTTCCTTGTTTAGCCAGCAAGTTAATAAGATCATGTCCGAGTTAAGAAATTGAGAGTAAAGAGATAGATTGTGTCCAGAGATGAGATTTTAAAAGCTTAAACCCGACTAAACCCAAACTTGGGCTTAGATAGAACCCAAGTCAGGATTGGTTCTGATTCGACCAAAAAAAGCCCCCCCACCCCCTAGGCTAAACCTTACTGTACGCCCCTGGCTTCATAGGCTTCAGGGTTACCCACAAAGGATGGAACTTCAGAGACGACTGTACGGAATCTATATATATATAAATATATAAATNGCCATTAGACAGGACAAAATATTTATTTGAACCTAGGGATCGTCATATTTTATGAGCATTCTAGGTCGTCTTTACACTCTCATCTTTTGTCTCAACCCTGTATGTAAAGTTGTAATCTCTGTTTGTTTGTCCGATCATAACTCAAGAACCCCTGCACCGATTTGCCTCCAACTTAGATTGGGGACCTCGGGAGAACCACGGTAATGTTTTAACTAGGTTTTTAAAGTCCAAATTGAGTATAATGACTTAAAAAAATTAGTTTCCCGGTAAAATCGAACAAGTGCTGGTAAACGGCGGGAGTAACCGAGGCAAAGCTGGGTTCCCAAGCTAGATTTATAATGAAGCAACTCCTGAAATCCATATAATAAAGAAATTTTGTCGAAGCTCCACAAATAGGACATTTTGATATCAAATTGAAAAAAAAATAATAAGTGATTTTCCTGTTCTTAATATATACAATATACATCTAATTTTTTTCTATGATTTTTCATGTTTTTAAAAAATTATAAAAAAAAACGTTACTTCTGCTGATTGAAACAACTGGTGAAAGAATTGTACACTGTAAAAATATCTCATTGGTATCATATGAAATTTTCTCTACAATACTGCACTTTAAGCTCAACAACCATATCTAGCAAGACACTCTCTTTAAAGCCTATAGTTTGTTATAAATAGATTGTGTGATGTGAAAATATTTATAATGTTGATTGGATCAAGCATATTATCCTTATTCTGTCAAGCAACCAACAAACATCTGCCCTGCGCTAAATACAATGCACCACCCATGTTTTCAATGATAACAATTGATAACAATAAAACTTACCAGTTTTCCTTAAAGGGTCAGTAAGCGTAATTCCAGGTGACCCTCCATGCAATCAAGAAATATATAGACCAGGAACCGCCATATCTCATGCGTCAAAACCGTGTACTGCAGTTGGAGGAGATCAAAACAAGGAATTCAAGGGGCAACTCAACATTTTTTAAGGGAAATAGGTCCAAGGGGTGGAATAAAAATATCTTGCTATTGTATTTTCCATATTAACCAAAAAGCCAAAAATCATATGTATTTACTCTAACTTTATATATTAACTTGTTTTTTGTTGGACTGTAATATCACATCAGAGCTTTAGTCCTTTCCCTTCAACTTCTGTGGGGGCACTGGGTTTGTTTACATTCCTCCCCCAGTGTTTCAGTACACAATTTGGGAATATCTGAGTTGGGCGTTCCTGTATATAGTTCCTTGCATGCAATTATGGCAATCCCCGATTTACAACAGTACCCTTGAAAGCTATTTCTGATCATTAGATATTAAAGGTTTTTGTTTCTTTAAATTTTTATTTCCATTTGTGGCTTCTCTGCAAAAAGGACATGTGTATTTCTTGTAGTAAAAGGCAATAAGGAGAAACTCACAGAAATAAACACTTTTTGAGTGAGAAAAAACGACATTATCTTCCACTTTTTATATTAGATAAAGATTTCAAGGGTACGTTGGAGTTCGAGCATTGTCATCTTTACATGGAGGGTCACATTAAATTACTTACAGTCCCTTTAAAGGGACTGTTCATATACTAATTTCAAGCATAAACCCACTTTAAAGAAGGGGTATGCCTGATGTATACCGGTTTCATTTTCTGATCAGAAATGTAAAAGATATCGTCGTTTTTTATAGCTAGAAAACAGTTTTCAAGCTAGAAAACTGTTCTGTTCGGAAATATTTGATTGATTTTATTTATATCTAATTGAGGAACAGCAAACCGTCTCTTTAACTGATTTATATCTGATTAAGAAGCAGGAAACAGTCCCATTAACTGATTTATATCTGATTAAGAAGCAGGAAACAGTCCCATTAACTGATTTATATCTGATTAAGAAGCAGCCAACAGTCCCATTAACTGGTTTATATCTGATTGAGAAGCAGGAAACAGTCATTAACTGATTTATATCTGATTAAGAAGCAGCAAACAGTCTCATTAACTGATTTATATCTGATTAAGAAGCAGCAAACAGTCCCATTAACCGATTTATATCTGATTGCCTGACTTGGTAATAATATACATAAATAGTACTGCAGTGTTTCAGCTCTAGTACTTTAGTACGATCAATTAAAAGAACCAAAGCAATGGCTTGGCAAAATAGGTATTTTTCTAATTACATCTTTTTTGTTGCGTATTTTCAGAGTCTGGGAAGAAATCATCATCTTTGTAATAGTATAGGAGCCCCATGGACGTCTCGTTGAAGACCCCAGATTCTCGTTGGAGACACCCATATTTTCGTTAGAAACCCCGCGATTTTCATTGGAGACCACCAGATTCTCTGGGGGTCTCCATCGGGGTTACCAATGAAAGGGGGTCTCCAATAGTATTCCAATGATTTCTTCTCAGACTTGTATTTTCAAGAGTAAACCTAAGATATTTAAATCCTTTTTTTATGAAAGAATTCATATTTTAAAAAAATTTGAATGAGGTTTCAAAATAAGAAGATTAAAGTTTGTGTAAGAATATTTTGCATGAAAAACAAAAATTTAAGTTTTAAATTTTCTAGAAAAATTATCAAAAATAGGTTGTAAAATTTCTAATTTTTCTATGTTGCAAATTTTTTTTCCTCTGAATTTTAGACATGAAAAAAAACTAAATGTTTTAAAAACATATAACAAATGCTTTTGGAACATTAAAAAAAATCCGAGAAATTTAATTATCCTTAAAAAACAGAAATTTTTGAAAAATTGTCAGGAAAGTAACTGCACTTTAAAAATTAATATCAGTTCTAAGGTATTTGGAAAATATTTCCTGCAAATTTTCACTTTATATTTTTAGCGGATTTTTTGTTATATCATAGTCAATTGATAAATTTGATAAGTTTTGATGAACTTTCGGTAAAAAAAAGAAAGAATATAATCCCAACAATTTTTGTTAGTTAAATTTGTTCAAAAAAATTGGTTTCGCAGGTTATTTTGAATAATTCCCAAAAAAAATTTTGATATTTTTCTATCACAATTTATTTTTTTTTATGCCTAAAATTAGAAGCAAACAAAAGTTAAACAAAGTTTGACCAAAACATCGATAATTCCGGGTTTTTTTAACTCACCTTCTACTTTTGTAATTTGTACTTATTTTAGGTTTAGTGGTGCAAAGCTTGCCGAAATGAAGAACGCATTTTCTCTCTTTGATCGGGATGGGGATGGTACGATCTCTACTAAGGTAATTTACGATCTTTTTATCATTCCTCCAGATATCGGACCATTTTTACTCTATTCTTTTAATCTGATTAATAATTATCACGTGACAATAATATTGCACTGCCATTGGCTGAAGTTCCCGGTGACGTAATACGGACTATATGTAATAATATTATCAACTATATCTATTAAAAATGCAAAATAAAAACAAAAAATTATAATAGGCGCAAACCTGAGATTCTTAGGCTCCTGTGGGATATCGCCATTTTTAGAGTATTAGCGTATTTCTTGAATATGATCTGTTTATTACTACAAATTTTATACAAAATTGCATATATATCAATTTTCTTATAAATTTGACAGAGTTTTATATCAATTTCTCGAGACAGAAACATCAGATAGATATCTTATCTATCTTTTAACGCCAGAGATTCTCAGGTTTCACCTTATACCGCGTTTCATTTTTCCTTTACAGTCCCTTTAAGGAAAATTACGTTTTTTTGCAACATAAATTTTACGATCTTAACATCTACAAAAAAAGACTCTAACGTACAGTAAAAATTATGAAACTCTGGAACAGAAATTCGTTTTTTTTACTCAAGTGATGATTGTGAATAGTTTAATAAAAATATACTTTGGTAAAATACACTTTATTGTCGATTTCATTTTCCTTTTGAATTAACGATCTTTTGAATTGCGACAGAGATCGGATGATCTTTTAAATTTTTTTGTTAACGTTGCAGCTTATTTAATAAAAGAGAGACTATGATTTCTTCAAAGAAAGAATTAAGCGATCCTTTTTTACAACAAAGTTTGAATTATTTAATCATTATTTTTTTTAGTTTTTATTCTTTAATTTCAACAAGTTCTGAATATAAACTTTGACAATTTTAACAAGAGCTGGAGATTAATGACTTATAAAGAGCATTTATTGAGAAAACTGTATTGATTATACTTGGTCATCTTAGCTAGGGCTGTGCGTGTTCCTGCTTTTAAAAATAGTTCGTTCCCCTCCGTTATGTTCCTCTTGTTCCTGTGAAATTGTTACCCAGGAACAACGCCTATTGCCCTGATCATAGCACCAGTCAAATGAAAGCACGTGTACATGTTGAGGGTAGCTCTTCACAATTTAGATCTAACAAGGTTTTTACACTGTAAACTCCAGGTCATTTCAAGTTCTGGGCTGTACAGTACACGGACAGACTGTATAGGGCATTAGCTAGACGGACAGTACATGTACATCAACTAAATCAGTCCGTTCTAGGGAGATTCTATAGTGTAGAACTATAGCATATCAAAAGTGAGAATGTGCATGCTCTCTACTGACTGGTATTACGATGATTAAGTGTATTTAAAACAGTGTAGATCATATGTTCTGTTCATTAATTCCTACCTCAAATTTACAGACTCTTTGGACATATTTTTGTTTACTCAAAATTATTTCAGGAGCTGGCCTCTGTGTTTAAAAGCTTGGGTGCTCAAGCCTCTGAACAACAACTGCAGGTCAACTTTGACAAAATAAAAATAATATTATTAGGAAACAAAATAAAAATGATATTAATAGGAAACAAAATAAAAATGATATTAATAGGAAACAAAAATAAAAATGATATTAATAGGAAACAAAATAAAAATGATATTAATAGGAAACAAAAATAAAAATCGAATTGAAGGGTTGACAAGATTCCAGCTGCCTAAGAGCTTCTTAGGCCTGAGAATAATAGAGTGCAGGAATTCTCCTGATAAACTGGAATGAGGCCCAGGTGCCAAACAGATAGGAACTTCACACTCATTGCTTCCTATCGTTTGTATGCCCGGATTGGATACCCCCAGGTACCTATAGCTGACAAACATAGACTCTCCTTGCTTGTCCACCATTCCTCTCTTCATCATCATTCACTTGGATCAATCCACTTAAAGCTTCTTTCTTGTTGAGTAGAAAGCACGCACCCTTTCGGTGCGAGAGCTGCTAACAGCCTCCCTTCTGTCCTCCTACATCCGTCAGGTGGTCATTACTGCTGAACCAGATGTCGGCTTCAGATGTTTTGGAAACCACAGGTTTGTGTGGAGTCCGGGAACCGAACCCGGCAACACCAGTCTGGACACCAATCCAATTACTGGCTGTGCTTAACTTCAGGGATCTGTCGTCTCATTGCTCCTCAGATGAAAGTTGCTCAATGATTTGGGCATGCAGCTCTGAAACTTGGAAATCACTTGAAATTAACAAAGACGACATTTATTCAAATATCAATTTGCTATGATTTTATGATTGCAGGCAATGATTAGAGCAGCTGATACTGATGGAAGCGGAACTGTGGAGTTTAATGAGTTTATGGAACTTATGGCTGATACTATGGAGGTGAGTCAAAGTAGGGTTAATGATTTTATGGAACTTATGGCTGACACTATTTATTCGGGTCCTAAAGTATAGTTTATAAAGTCATTAAGTCAATTAGTTTATGGAACTTATAGCTCATACATAAAGTTGTATCAATAAGTATATTTTATGAGTTTATAGAACTTATGACTGATACTTTGCTGGTGATCAATAGCGTCCATATAAATATAAATATTCGACTCGGAACGTAAACAATATCTAATTAATTCCAAACTAATCAGATATTACAGCCTATAATCATCGATTATATCTTAACGTAATCATATATAGTTGATATTTAATAATATTTTTTATTAATATATTCATGTCATAAATATTCCCGAGTACTATATCAGGGAAACCTGATACCTTATCAACATTCCTTTAAATAACTATTATCATCATTTTATGCAAATTTCGTAACCAAATAGATTGACTTCATGAAATATATATATGTCCCCCGCTACGCCGGTCACCCTATTGGACCTGTAACCTTATGTTTCAATAAAAAGTTATTTAAGTGTAAAATCTCGCGTTGGATACTGATAGACCTGGCTTAAACCCTAAGTAGAGAAGACAGAAATACAGTGTGTTATCTCTTATAGTTAAGATTGATTCCGATAGACATTGTGACATTCATAACAATCAATTCTTAAATTAAGACTATATTAGTAGGATCTGATCGTAAATACGCTAATTATTTCTACAAAATTCAATGAACAATCCCTTTAATCATAATATAGGTTACTGAAGAAGAGATGATGGAATCCTTTAAACTTTTTGACAGAGATGGTTCCGGTACCATTAATCATAATGAAATCAAGTAATAAATATTATTCTTGTTAATATTAATATTATTAAAGTTCCATTGAAAATTGTGAATATTAAATATTATTAAATTATCATTATTTATTTATTACAATTTATTTATAATTATTTATAAACTATTTCAATGTTTAGGTTGCTGACAAGGACGGGGATGGGGACGTGAACTATTTTGAATTCATGATGCTCATGAAAAGAAAGTAGAAGATCAAGATCAAGATCAAGATCAAGATCAAGATCAAGATCAAGATCAAGATCAAGATCAAGATCAAGATCAAGATCAAGATCAAGATCAAGATCAAGATTAAGATCAAGATAAAGAGTTCTGTTGTACATTATGAGACAAATAAAATTTTGGGCATTTTACACCATATGGAGATTATAATCTTTTGTAAAAAATATGTTCTGCAGGGTCTGAAAGATTTTAATTTATGAAATCAGAAAACAAAAAAACTATGTAAAGAAACCACATGAAATTCTATTTCTTGACAAAAATGGGTTTCTGGTACTGGGTTTAATAACGATACTCTGTCTTAAGTTTCATGCTCAACAAGGAAAAAGTACAAAAAAACGACAGTTTTTCACTTTTTTCATAGATAACCCTTTGGCAGAAGCCCAAAGATGTTATGCACAGTCGGCGAAGAACAGGCTCTCTCTCTGAACTAGTCTTTAGTATTTTACTAAACCAGGCTTCCTTGAGCTGAAAATTTTAGAATGGTGGATATCGAGATCAATGCTTAATCTCCTCTTTTTCTTAATCTCCAGATTAAATAATTCTTGTTCTCCTCTTGTTATTAATCTCCAGATTAATTAAACAATCGGGATTAAGGATATCCCATTCTAAGGTTTTCAGGTCAGATAGCATAGCACCCATCTTCGATTTTAAATTTTAATTGCGGCTCTATCTGCTGCAATTTCTCTTTTTAAATTATTAATTATAATAATATCTTTTCGGATTTATCGATATTTTTTCGTGGATTTTAAAAGGTCCAAATTTGTTTAAGGTAAATTTTCAAAATTTTGAACTTCCATAAATCTTACCTGAGATAATGTGAGGTCCCATAAAAAAAATTGGGCCCGATTAGTTTAGCCTTTTTTACGTTTATTGGACACAAACAGACCAACAATTAAACAAACAAGCAAAGTATATTTAAGAAGATATTTGTATTTGATTAGTGCATAGCAAAGGATGAAATATTAAATTCGTCAATTAATCGTCTTCATCCTTCCCATCCTCTATCCCAGGTCCAATCCTGTTGTACTTTCCTTCAATTCCAATTCCCTTGTACTTTCTTTCCGGCCCAAACCCCTTGTAATTTCCTTCAGGTCCAATCCCCTTGTACTTTCCTTCAGGTCCAATCCCCTTGTACTTTCTTTCCGGCCAAAACCCCTTGTAATTTCCTTAAGGTTCAATCCCCTTGTATTGTCCTTCAGGTCCAATCCCCTTGTACTTTCCTTCAGCCCAATCCCCTTGTACTTTCTTTCCGGCCCAAACCCCTTGTACTTTCCTTCAGGTCCAATCTCCTTGAATTTTCCTTCAGGTCCAATCCTCTTGTACTTTCCTTCAGGTCCAATCCCCAATTGTACTTTCCTTCAAGTCCAATCCCCTTGTACTTTCCTTCAGGTCCAATCCCCTTGTACTTTCCTTAAGGTCCAATCTCCTTGAACTTTCCTTCCCCCATCCCCTCGTATGTCATTCCGGCCCTATCCCCTTGTACTTTCCTAACGGCCCAATCCCCTTGTACTTTCCTTACGGCCCAATCCCCTTGTACTTTCCTTCCGGCCCTATCCCCTTGTACTTTCCTTCCGGCCCTATCCCCTTGTACTTTCCTCCCGGCCCTATCCCCTTGTACTTTCCTCCCGGCCCAATCCCTTGTACCCTCCCACCGACCCAAACCCTTTGTACTTTCTTACAGCTTAATTCCTTTGTACTTTCCTTCCCTTGCACTTGTCTCCCCCCCCCGCACTTTAAACATTATTTTTTATCCCTCCTCCACGAAAATTTGGGCTTAACAATAAATACATGTATCTTATTACGCCAAGTCAACTAATAAATCATATTTTAGATTTTAAAAATACTAGATAATGTGTCCAACTCTTTAGAATATACGATAACTTTGCCCCCCCCCCCTCCATATTTTTCTTACACATTGTAGTATGTCTCTACTTTATCTGTCAATGCCCCCCCCGCCCTCCATTGCTTATTATGAATTATACTATTACACAAGACCTATACAATACACATTACACTTTGCAGTATGATAAGATCAAAATAACAATTTTTCAGAGAAATATATTTGAGACTTAAATATCTGATTATCCATATCTGATAAACATTTATAATAAAATTATAACTGTACAGCTTACTTGAAGTTAACTAGTAAGCAGAAAAAGAAGAATATGTAAAACTTAACCGAAAATTACCATAATTACATATATTAAAAATACTGGAATTAAACAGACAAAATGTAACGCAAAATCAAAATTTGGTGTAAATTATAAGTATGTACTGTGATAAACAGAAAACTGTGGAAAAAGGATAATATATTAAGGAATGGAGGAAAAAAGAATTTATCATGGAATAGAGAAAAGAAGAATATATCGAGGAATGGAGAAAAGAAGAATATATGAAGGAATGGAAAAAAGAAGAATATATCGAGGAATAGAGAAAAGAAGAATATATCAAGGAATGGAGAAAAGAAGAATATATCAAGGAATGGAGAAAAAAAAGAACATATCATGGAATAGAGAAAAGGAGAGTATATCAAGGAATGGAGAAAAGAAGAATATATCAAGGAATGGAGAAAAGAAGAATATATCAAGGAATAGAGAAAAGAAGAATATATCTAGGAATGAAGAAAAGAAGAATTTATCAAGGAATGGAAAAAAGAAGAATACTTCGAGGAATAGAGAAAAGGAGAATATATGAAGGAATGGAGAAAAGAAGAATATATCAAGGAATGGAGAAAAGAAGAATATATCAAGGAATAGAGAAAAGAAGAATATATCGAGGAATAGAGAAAAGAAGAATATATGAAGGAATGAAGTAAAGAAGAATATATCAAGGAATGGAGAAAAGAAGAATATATGAAGGAATGGAGAAAAGAAGAATATATCAAGAAATGGAAAAAGAAGAATATATCGAGGAAAAGAGAAAAGAAGAATATATGAAGGAATGAAGTAAAGAAGAATATATGAAGGAATGAAGTAAAGAAGAATATATCAAGGAATGGAGTAAAGAAGAATATATCTTTAAAAACTAAATATTTTTATTTTCCGTTCAGATATTTGGTTTAACAATATTTTACAGATTATCTATTATAAATCACAATTATTGATATACGGAAATTATGCTTTTATTTATAATTAATTAGCATATGAAATCTAAACATAGTTGAAATTAGGAAGGTAAAACCAAGAATTTCAGCGTTTCGAATATAACTGCTCGAAATCGGCGTCGACATTCAGGCTCAATTACTTTAAAACGTATAAATTATCCCACAAAGTTAGTCAATTTGCTGACGGAAAGATTTTTTTTTTTAAGGTAGGTTATAGGAAAGGCTTGGAAGTGAAGTTTCGTTTAAAAATTCGTTTAAAATAAAACAAAACATGGAAAGCTTTTTCTTTTAAAGTTTTCTATTACATCCTGTAATGAAAAATTTCTTTGATCGGTGCGTTTGTTAACATCAAATGTCAGCCTTTGCATCCCGATCGTTTTTATCCAACATAAAGTTTAGTTGGAAGAGATAAAATGGAGTTTATGCTGGTGTAGGAATCTTCCATAATTAGGTATCGAGACTGAGAAAATCTCCGATCCTTGCTGCCAGGGCAGCGTGCATTATTACAGTTATTCAGCATACACCTGTACATAGAAAGTCTAAGTAATTTATCAGGACACGTATACGAGGAGTACGATAAAAATGGTTCCAGGTTCATTTACGTCCTTACTATATAGGTATACGTTACAACAGGTTCCAGGTTCATTTACATCCTTACTATATAGGTATACGTTACAACAGGTTCCAGGTTCATTTACATCCTTACTATATAGGTATACGTTACAACAGGTTCCAGGTTCATTTACGTCCTTACTATCTAGGTATACGTTACAACAGGTTCCAGGTTCATATACGTCCTTACTATATAGGTATACGTTACAACAGGTTCCAGGTTCATATACGTCCTTACTATATAGGTATACGTTACAACAGAAGAATATATCAAGGAATGAAGTAAAGGAGTGAAATCAAGGAATGTGGACGAGGGTTCCCTTAGGGCACCATTGTTAATTGTTCATGAATTAGATTGTTGATGAAGCTCTAGTTAAAAAAATATTGTTATTTTAGTTTAAAGTCGAAACGTAAGGAATTGTTTTGCAAGCTTTTAACTCACAACTTTCTCTGATTGCTGAATAATGGCTTTCTTAAAAAGAGTACGTATTTAAGATTTCAAATTCATTTAGTCAAACAGTAGTGTTCTACTCTTTATACTGTGTACATATATATTGAATGCTTGCACAAGCTTTACCAATATGTACATACCAACGTAAGTAAAGTACAGTGATAACCAGAAAAAATTGAAAAAGGAAGAAGAAATTACAGCATAAACTTAAGTTCATTTGCTGTTATACAAAGTAAAAATAGTTTTACTAGACACTTATTAAATCACTAATTTAGTGATATAGGTCTGTTTACACGGCCCATTGGACAGTGCCCATCTCATGCTCATTAGACATTTTAGAGTTATAACTTGATGCAAAAAGTCGTCTTTCTATTTCGAGTTTTCTGGTTAGCACTGTACTACACCAGCTGAATTATATCTTCTACTTTTTTTAACAATTTTTTTGCTATGTACACTGTACAGGCGTGTACACTGTACAGGCGTGTACACTGTACAGGCTGTTTAAAAAGATCTTTGTATTTCTTACAACATCTTCCCCTAAATTTAGGTTCAAAGCGGGGCTTTTATACCAACTGCCTGAATCCTCAGGCATACTTCCGGAATGCCTTATTTCATCTTTACCCGACTAAATCTATATTAAGACCAACTTCTGGTCATTGGATTTTTCATTATATAGCTCTTTGGAAAGCCTTGAACAAAAAAGAAGCAGATTCCACAATTTTTGCGAATAGGTTTTTCATAATTTTTTGCACAGATGCCTTTAATGAGAATTCGCACATTTACAGTTTTCCTTGAATAAAAATTTAGTTTTTAAAAATTTTGCAAATATTTTTGCATTTTCAATTTTGCCATGGTAAGGGCTTTTTAAAAAATGTATAATTTATCCTTTTTCGCGCACTTTTTATTTTTACACATTTTTTGCTTAATAACTAGAAATTGCAATGAATATTTGAAATTGTACAAATTTGCAAATTATTTTTTTTTGCAGATCATTAAAGTAGAGCCCAAGGGCTTTCCAAAAGTGTATCAAATTTTATAGATTTGTATTACAATAAGGAAATAGAGGGGGGGGGGTTCCCTGGGAATAGGGTTAAGAAAAGACTAATTTATAAATGTTAGAGCTTCATAGTTTCTATTTTATTTAAAGGTTTTTTGAACCTGTAAAACGACTGCTGAAATGGGAAAAGGTTGCAATAGACAATTTTGTGTTTCGTCTTCATTACAAGGTACTTAATGATTATTATTTTTATAATTATCATATTTCTTATCATAATTATATTAGTTCTATCTGATGTCCCTGTCTCTAGAAATTAATATGATAAAGAACTAATATTGGTCGCGATCAACTCCTAAAATGCTCAGGCTTCAAGCCTATACCCTATTTTAATTTTACCTTAACAGTCCCTTTAAACTTATGTTTTGAACCGAGCAAATAGCTCTTTAATTGGAGGGTATCTCATGAAATTGTAAAAATTAATTATTTTTTTATTTTTTTCAGATTTTTTATTAAAAAAATTTATTAATACAGGTATTTAATGAAGAATGCAGATAATCATTTTTCCAATCTTCTTATTTTCTGATAATCCGTTAACAGTCTCATTGTTATAGATAACTGTTGTTATGCTCCTGGTTTTTGTGGCAATGGTAACGGCCAAACAGCATTTCGGAGATCCTATAGACTGCCATATGGAGAGCTCGAATTCTATTCAGCGTGAGCTACAATTATTTATTCTATAGATTGATAATTGATAATGTTTGGTTTTTATTTTATCAAAAAAATTATTATTTACAGTGATTTTTTTGTTACCTTTATACGTAACAAATGAGAGAGACGTGTTATAAAGTTGTTGGACAGGACTTTTCTCAATATCTCGAAGGTTCTCACCTTTTTAGATTATATTTTGTCCATTGCTGAAGCTCAGAACAAAATTAAATCTAAAAAAGCTTGAACCTTCTCGATAAAGAGAAATTTCTGGCGAAAAACTTTATAACACTGCGAACCAAAATAAAATTGTTATAAATAGTTAAAATGTCGTTTAAGTACAGGTATAGATAGATGATTTTCAAAAAAAAGCTTTTAATGAGTGAAAGAAAGAAAAATCTTTGTTTAGCTAAAGCTACCAATGGTTGGTGTTGGTTAACAGGAACCTATACAAACGGGTTCATCCGGAAGGTAAAAAATGAAAGGATTTTTAATTTTTCTGAGAACTAAGTTTTGCCACATTGTATTTTCACCTCCCAACCCTACTGCTTGAGAACAGAACTTCTCCTTCCTTTAATAAGAAAATCAATCAGCCTGCATCCTGTGAAGTATATCATTAGAGTAAATAGATATAGAGTTTAGGTGTATACTAGAGTACACGCGGAATCAGGGAGATGGAGATTTAATAACAATTTTCACACTAAATTGCGCTAGCATTATGTTTATATATGTAGTCTGTAAAAGAAAGCACGGAGAATCCTGTTTTCTCTCAGCTTTCTACAGACTCAGTGATCTCTACGACAGAATAAATATTAAACTGTACATGATAGCAGTATGCTGAAATAACAGCTAGCACAGAGGCCGTTCCTTCCATAAACTAAATTGGTCGACAACTTGACGTCTCCTATATAGGTCGTCAAGTGTACGGAAAAATTATCTATCTATCATATAAGAATTTAGCATAAGACATCTAGCGGCCAACATATCGCCCCCCCAAAGTACGTGAACTACACGACCACTATCTATTAAAAGAATGGACTCGGACAGAAATTGGGAGAAGGGTTGGTGTGGTGGTGGGGGGAGGGATGAAGACTATATGTTTATTTACTTTTGTAGTATATCGTGTAATTTCACGAAGAACTTCCTTCTAGAGAGAAAAGTTATCCTCCAAGGAGGTTGGGCTGTCTTTTAAAATCAGAAATACCAAGTTCAGTTTTGTGGAGACAGAAATACAGTGTACAGATAAACAGGGGTTCTTAAGTACATTTCGTAGTTTTCATAATATTTCAAATAAGGTACATTTATTATGTTAGACAAAATCAACACAATTTTCATGGAGGTTTTCTGTAAAAAATGACGTTGACTAAACTTTTACTGCTGAATTAATGAACCATAATAATAATTCAATCCCTACAAGAAAAAACAATGAAATCTTAATTTTTAAATAAAGATTAGTTGAATTGGAGGATTCGTAGATGAGACATTTTATGATTAGAACATTTTATTGATAGGACATTTCAAAATTAGGAAATTTCCAAAAGAAAGAGGATTTTTCATAGCCAAGGTTACCCTCTCTTGATATATCATACAATCATTTTTACCTTGTCCAATCTTTGATCATGTTCTCTTTACTAAATGTCCATCTTGAAATGTGACAATGTCTTAACGCCTGAAATGTCCCAACACCTAAATGTCTCAACTACATGAAATGTCCCAACACCTAAATGTCTCAACTACATGAAATGTCCTCACACCTAAATGTCTCAACTACATGAAATGTTCCTGTAACAACCACATCCCTAGGGTGAGAGAGGGGGTGGTGTAGTTACAGTTCCAACGCTTGATATTATGTTTTTACAGCATGAGTAAAAAAACTTGATTATTGATGTTTTTTGAAAAAATTTCCTAAAATTTTCGTTTGCTTCGAATTTTAGGCATGAAAATTAAAAATGTGATAAAAAATATTTCAAAAATATTTTCAGAAATTTCATCTAAACTTGAATGAGATATATTAAAAATCTCCAAAAAATTCTAAGTGGAAATCTGCAGTAAATGTTTTTAAATAATACCTCAAAAATCCAATTAATTGGTTTACATTTTTTGTTTTCTATTATTCAATTTTTGATTAATCTTTTGGAATACAATAAGTAATCATTTTACCAACAATTTTTCAACAACAAAAATGGTTTCGCGGATTTTATTTAACCCTATTCCTGCTGGGGGGGGGGGCAATTTGACCCCCCATGGAATGTGTCATCGTCATGAAGATTTAACAGTTTGGTTCTTGTCCTAGCGAGCACTAGCGTTCGTACGACCTCCTAGAGTTGAATTGTTCTTTTAGTCGGCAGACACGTGTGCATGCGAAAGGGGTTAATATTTAAGAAATATTATTTAACTGGGCTTTTAGGGTGCTTCTCGCCCATCTTCTATTTAAATTGTGAACATGTTCTTTTTGTTTACATTATAACAACAAAGAAGAAAAAAATTTTGCGGATTTTAAAAAAAAATTCGCGGATTTTCAAGAATATAAATTTTTTACAATATTAAAAACCTTTAAAATACATTTTTTTAAATTTTTATCATTCATAAACCTTCCTTGTGGTCATGTGATGGCCCACAAAAAATTTGGGCCCGATCGGTTCAGCCGTTTTGACGTTTATTGAATACAAACAAACAAACTCCCAGACACCCAAGCCAAATTTTATTAGATTTATTCATCACATGTATTTTTTTTATGTATAAAATCCAGAGTAAACAAGAATTTAGGACATTGTTTCCAAAACATCGATAATCTCGGTTTTTTACTCATCCTAATATCTCTAATATCAGGAAGATGAAGAATATTGCTTACAAACCTACACACGAGATATTTGCAGATTTGGCACATTCAACGCAAAGTAAGAAAAAGACGACATTTTGAATATCTGTGATTTTTGTCACAGTTATTAAGCATGTACAGGATAACCCACACAAATGAGACTTGAGCTGAACACTTTAGAATTGTGGATATCTGGATCAATGCTTGATTTCCTCTTTTTATTAATCTGAAGACGAATTTAATCTTACGTTAATAATCGGGAAATTTTTTAAACTGCAACCAATCAGGTGTCGATTGTAGAAACCGAACAGCCAATCAGAAGCCGATAAATTTCAAAATTTTGGCGCGTAATTAATGAGAGAGCTCTTATTGGTTTAAAGACAGCAGGGATATCCAAAAGAGAGGATTAAGCAGAAAATCAAAAGTGTCGAGGGTGGATACATACATATGCACTCAGGATTTGAGTTTTCAGCTCTTAAGTCGAAACTTTTGAACGCTTGATCTCAAAAAACAACGATGGCACTTTTAAATTTGAGTATTAATGCTTAATCCCTCAATGTACGTTATACATAATTGAAGAGGAATTAATCCGTTGATCTGCAAAAATATTAACTTCTGAAACTCTTTCAAAGGCAAAGATTGTATATCTTAAAAAATATTTTTTTCAATTATAGTTATAAACCCTGAGGCCGAATTTAAAGAATTTGAGCCGCGGCTTAAATCCGCCAAAATCCGGTTTAAATTAAGCGCCGGCTTGATCTTGAAACATTTGATACAATTTCAAGTAGAACCAACCATATTTAAGTCGCGGCTCAAATTCTTTAAATTCGGCCTCTCACTAAATAGAGACAAGATTACAGCTGCTTGGAAGTTGGAACCATAAATGTAAGAAAACATATTAAATGAATTCAGTAAAGCTGTCTCTGAAGTTTCATCTTTTGTTTGGAATATATGACGTTACTTAATTTCAATTCAGTTTTATAAAGAATGGGGAACAATGCAGATTATGATACCTACTGCCATTTTTTCATTGTTTCTTAAAGTCCTAGTCTGCTGAAATTTTTTAATTTTCTCATCTAACATTTAAATCATATTGACCCAGCCTTCAGAAGTTCAGATTTAATAAACTTGAAAACTTCGGTCTTTAAAATACAGGGTGTCCCACGAAACATGACAGTTGTTGAATAGTTTTGAATGTCTTCTTCCATATATTATACTAGATATTAAAGACTTTTTGCATGTCATTACGTTAAAAACATTTTTTTCTCAAATATATTTTACTTTGAAATTAATTTTACAATAATATAATTGGCATACAATATTTTTATCATTCTCTTTAATTCAAACAACATAACTAATTATGAAAGAAGACATTCTAAACTATTTACGAACTGTCATGTTTCATGGGACACCCTGTATCTAAATAATTTGTAGATTGCACACTAGAGTTTACCACAACTACTATCAATGGGTGGCCTGGGTTCTATTCCTTCAGGTAAATTAAAGGGACTGTTTACGTAGTTTCCAGTCACCCATGAATATTTAAATAGAAACATGATGTTACAACTCCAGTTACTTAAACATATTTGTTTGATCAAAAATGATGTAAAATACACTAACAATCCCAGTTTAACGGTCAAAATACACTAACACTAACAATCCCAGTTTAACGGTCAAAATACACAAACAATCCCTGTTTAACGGCCAACATACACTAACAATCCCAGTTTAATGGTCAAAATACACTAACAATCCCAGTTTAACGACCAACATACACTAACAATCCCAGTTTAACGGCCAAAATACACTAACAATCCCTGTTTAACGGCCAACATACACTATTAATCCCAGTTTAACGGCCAAAATACACTAACAATCCCAGTTTAACGGTCAAAATACAGTAACAATCCCAGTTTAACGGTCAAAATACACTAACAAACCCAGTTTAACGGTCAAAATACACAAAAAATCCCTGTTTAACGGCCAACATACACTAACAATCCCAGTTTAACGGTCAAAATACACTAACAATCCCAGTTTAACGACCAAAATACACTAACAATCCCAGTTTAACGGCCAAAATACACTAAAAATCTCAGTTTAACGACCAAAATATACTAACAATCCCAGTTTAACGGCCAAAATACACTAAAAATCTCAGTTTAACGGCTAAAATATACTAACAATCCTCGTTTAAAGATCAAAATACACTAACAATCCCTGTTTAACGGTCAAAATGCACTAACAATCCCTGTTTAACGGTCAAAATACACAAACAATCCTGTTTAACGGTCAAAATTAATTATCCATCCTAACATCCCTTGTTTAATGTTCAAAATACAATAGCAATGCCTTGAAATCGGTCAAAATACACACACATAAATAAAATACACACTTTTAAATAAAAGAATGAATGTCAAGATTAACTTATTCAGTTTCCTGCCAAAATTGTCTTTATAATGTGAAAACCTTTGAGTCTGCTAAAAAACATAAAATAATTCATGTAGAATTCTCAGAATTAAACCGAACAATGAAATTAAATGCTGTCGCGCAAAATAATTCTATGATTAGCAAGCAACTGCAAACTTACAAATAAAAAAGTTGCAAACTTTAATTTTAATAAAACGAGGATTTTTCCAAGAAACGTTTGCTATTGATAAACAAAAAAAACAAACATTTTTTTATTAAGTATTGAAAATTTTGTTATATTTCAACTTTACACTGTGAGACAATAAAACTCGCATCAATTTCCTCAATCTCTAATCTTAAACTTTAAGTACGTATTCAATCAAGTACACACATCAGATTTCGATTAAGCTTTTAATGAATCATTATTGGCACTCTTAAATCTTAAGGTTGCTTTTTAAAAAGTTAAATATCCTTTTATTTATAGGCTTTACTGTTCCACACTCCTCGGCTTATTTGGAAAACATTGGAGGGTGGCAAGGAAGGGCTAAAGCAATGCATTATCTTAAATAACGATGAAATATGTTGGAATGTGTCATCGTCATGAAGATTTAACAGTTTGGTTCTTGTCCTAGCGAGCACTAGCGTTCGTACGACCTCCTAGAGTTGAATTGTTCTTTTAGTCGGCAGACACGTGTGCATGCGAAAGTATCAAAAGCATTACTTCAAACCAAAACACGATTGAATTTAAATTGTAGAAGCTGAACGCATCTCATCCTGATTTATATTTGCCGACAAAAAAGTAAAAAAGATTAAAGGTGAAAATTGTATAATGTGCGCAAACTTGTCCGGATTAGACATGAATACTTATTATTTTGAGAACAAAAGTTTTTCAATTGTCATTCCTTTACAAAAGTTACTGCGGGGAAAAAAAGGAACCTAGAAAAATTACAATATTATTCATATTATAAAGGAACCTAGAAAAATTACAATATTATTCATATTATTGATCAGATAAAAGGAACCTAGAAAAATTACAATATTATTCATATTATGGATCAGATAAAAGGAACCTAGAAAAATTACAATATTATTCATATCATTGATCAGATAAAGGCTTCATGGGTACCGTTCTAAATCGGGCATTGAAATCTTTGCATGAAGGGTCACTTGAAATTACACTTACAATACAATCCCTTAAATTGAGAAATAAAGACTGTATACATTGCAACCTGGTTCAGGTTAAGTTTATAACGTCTAAATGTGAAGTTACTTTACCACTTAACGAAGAAGAACAAGAGGAACGAGTGAGGAGGTAAACTGCATGGCTTCAAATACATGACGCCAAGGAGGAATCACGGTGAACTAGGGTCAATTTGAATTTGAACCGGACCGACCCCCTTGTACCGGCCTTAGGGATGCGTGGCAAGTACTGTCCTGACTCTCTCCTTGGCCGGCTTTGTTTCAACTTTAATGGTGCGGCTAGACCATGGAGTAAGGAATAGAAGGGAGATATAACTGACGCGTTTCGCCTTAACATATGATTATACATGCTTTGCAGACGGGTACTCCATTTGTATATGAAATATTCAGTGAAGGTCATTGTATACGCGGTAATTGTACTTCAGACAAATATTTCATATTCAAATGGAGTACCCGTCTGCAAAGCATGTATAATCATATGATAGGGCGAACCGCGTCAGTTATATCTCCCTTCTATTCCTTACTCCCTGGGCTAGACTTTTTAAAGTACACGGCCTATCATAGGCTTATTTTACATACCCTACTAGATCATAGTTTAGTCTATAAAAAAAGTATGTTTTAAATTTTGTAGAAAAAATACAAGTTTTTTCTCCTAATAATAATAATATTGCTAGTAATAACTATATTCTGTACATAAATAAAGTTTGCTTAAGGTTGTACACGTTGTACGCAAAGTACGCAGGGAAGAACAACATGTACGCTCTCATATTCTTCGTTTGTGAGGTAAAATTTAATCAATTACTATGAATGGGAAGAAAGATTTTCCTGTTTTACAAAAGTATGTTTCTGTTTTTTTTCGAAAGATATTTTTTTGATTACTTTTGATTTTTTTCTGTTCAGGTTGACATTTTATTTTCTTTAGACTAAGAGTGAATCAAGGTTATAATACAAGGACAGTTATTTCAGAGGTGTAATAATCTTTTCTATTGCAGTGTAATGTAAACACAAGAAGACGGATTTCAATGCCCGACATGGGATCCATTCTTCACATTAAAATCAAGAAATATTCTGGTCATAGGAACCTATTATGTGAATTATTAAAATTATCAAAATTCAATGCTTTTAACCTCCTCGGATACTTAACGAACACTGATGCATCTATTCTTGTTTACAAATTCCGCCCGGAGAGAACTGGCTTCAATATGTACGCAGAGTAAACGCAATTGAAATTAACTTTCCTTGCATTATAACCTTGGAATGAATAGGTTTTGAGATCGTTAGAATTCTGCAGTGTTCTAAAACCAACCTTTCAGAGCAAGAACCCAGAAACGCTGAAATTAAAAACAAATTAACGATGCTAATTATTTATAATACTGTAGGTCCTATAAAGCTGTGAAACAGGAAGACGACTATTATGATTTTAAATAGTCCAATAAACATGAAATACATTTATTTTGCGGTATACACCGACCCATTTAACACTAACATAACATTGTTTAATTTTCGTTTCCCTATTCCACAGTTTATTGGGTCCCCCTGTATCTAGGTATTGAACCTACTGAACGTGTGCCTCAATTTACTGCTTGTTGATGTATTCCTGCAGGGTAGATTTAAGAATTATGGTTCCGATGCTATAAAGGTGTTAATTTACTTTTTAATGAGTTTTTATGGACTTTTATTGGACTTTTACAATTACAAGCTATTAATGGAAATTAATACAGATGCTATTATTCTTACAGTCAGTTAGTCTTTTACCTTTAAACCCTTTTCCACATTCAATATAATTTTCATCCTTTATTTGAACAATTAGGATTATAAGCGTAGTTTTCAGGGAACCTCCTTGCAGAGATGGCATTGCCCGGTTTACAATATTTGATCAGACAAAGCTTTTATCATCAGCACTATTTGTAAATCGGGCATTGTCATTTTTGCATAGAGGGTCACTTGAAATTACACTTACAGTCTTAATTACAATATTTTTCAGGCGTACTTACGAGGGGAGGATGACCCAATGGGAGATGCATTCCCAAAGGTAAAAGTAAGCTAGTCAAAAACCGCCGAAAATACTTTAAATAGAAAAATTGGTAAAAGTGATAATGTATGATTAATAACAATCCATTAAAAAACTGCAATGTCCGATTCACTACTGTACTCTTTAGGCCTGAATATGATAAAATAGAAGCTACAAGTGAAATTAAACAGTTTAAGGAAACAAAAACATGGATATCTTCATCAGTTTTAATTTATGGTGTTTTGTAAATCTGGCATTGACATTTTTTATGGAGGGGGTCACTTCATATAACTCATACAGTCCCTTGAAGAGAAAAATAATTTGGCCAATAAAATAAAAGAAAAAATTGTTAAAATTGCAGAAGACCATATTCTTTTAGAAAAAGAGAAAGTATAAATACAGGGTTACCCACAAAGTATTAGAGTTCAGTGAAGACTGATCAAAAATTTTACATGTATGTCTGTTTTAGAAAACTTATGATTCCCTGCAACTGTTTCTTTCTTTGCCAAATATTTAAAAGGCCACCAAAATTCAAGGCAGAGGGCTTAATTTAACCTAGGAATTTAAAGAGTTTCGTTTTTACAGTCTCCCGTTGTGGCCTGTGGGTAACCTCTTTAAAATGTAATATTTTACAAATTGTATAAAATATATTAGTTTATAAATTAGTTATATATTAGTTTATTAAAACGAATTAGTTGTAAAGATGGCAATGACCGATTCACAATAGTATCCTTAAATTCTCTATCTGATTAATAATGTAGAAGATATTGTCGCTTTTTTAGGTTTAACAGTTTCCATTTTAGAATCTTTTAAGAATACCGTTTTGAAACAGGTATTGTCATCCTTACGAGGAGGGACACTTGAAAATACGCTTACAGTCCCTTTAAGGTTGTTTGACCAATTTCATGATTTCACAATTAATAATTGTCGTCTTCTATTTTCTTTTATTAATAAATAAATTAAATCTACGTTTACAGTCCTTTCAATCAACAATATAGATGAGATAAAATTTTCTTTTTAGGCTTCCAAATGTAAATTTGAAAGATATGCTTCGGGCGGGGATCTTGTGGTAAGTATAAAAGAGGAAAAAATTATTTTGTCGATACAAAGTATTTCCTTTTAAAGAAACTGCCGGCGTATTTGCTTCAAACTCGAATTATATACAGTTAAACCCTAAATAAGCCATACATCGAAAGAATTCATAAAATGTCGTATTCTACACTTTCTGATAATGGAATGTTGCAGATATTTAGTTTTTAATTAAATGGTCTTTAAAACTATTCCCGCACATTCATGGCTATTTATTTATTTTCAAAAATACTGAGATTTACGTAAAATAGTAAAAAACCCATTGAAAAATTGTCAAGACGATATTTGGTAAATTCCTTCGATGTATGGCTCATTTAGGGGTTAACAGTATATATTTTTGCACCCAGATGGGAAATATTTTATATTTCAAACTTTGACAATTTTAGATGCAGCCTGCAAGCAAAATTCAAAGTCTTGTACGTATCAAAGCGCGCCAGATTCTTTCTTTTATTTGATTAAAGCATCATTAATACAAAAAATAGCCTTTCAAATTTTTAATATTGAGCTTCAAAGTGAATAAAAAAATCTAATTTCTGTTTTATATTAATTTTCTATTTTAGAATCATGAAAGTTTGTGCATTCTTTCATTAAACATCGTCAATGACAAGGGAATCTTCAAAATACATAAAAATAATAAATTTAAATATTCTTCATTTTTTTTATTTGAAAAATCGTTTTTATACATTTTTTCTAAAAGGTTTTAAGGTTAAAAAATATAAAAATATTATGCCATGTTAACTACATTCAAATGACCAGAATTAAATTCGGAATTTATATGTAAAACAGTTTAACCCATAACTTCGGATGCATGGAAAGAATTCACAGAATGTCGTCTTTGCAATTCTATTATCAGTAGGTTTAAAGACGACATTTTTTAATTTCTTTCGATTTCTCCAAAGTTCTGTGTTAAACTGTAATCAAATGCTCAGTTGTAAACAGCTCCTATGGCAGCCAACCTATGGTTTGATTTGATTTGATTCATAATGAATGACCCGTGGTGGTCATAACCTGGTGAGATAACTTTAAATGAGAATTCAAACATTTATTTCCAAATTTAAAGTGCCCATATTGGACATCAAGATTACTTTTAGAAGATTAAGGTATAATACCATATATATAATTGAAAACAATTTTGGAGCAAACTTCAGGTTTATTTGGTGATGTGGCTTTGGTTTCATTTTCTAGTTGTAATTACCTCTCTAAACCTTATATACAGGTAGATACTGCAATATTGCCTTGTCCCAATATCACCATGCAACTAGGGTTTCCAGCGGAAAAGGGAAATCGTTTCGCGAAAAAAAAGTATTTCACCAAAAAAAATTAAATTTTTTCCTATTCCGTTTGTTGAAAATGTTCGCGAAATATCACGTTAATCTGTTCCGAGAAAAAAAAAATTGCGAAATTTTTCATTTTTTTCAAGAAATTTCGCATATTTTTAGCAAAACAGACTAATGCATTTTTTTTCTCACAAAACTACGGAAAGTTTTCGCTTATTTGCAAATAAAATGCGAAATTTAGCGAAAGAGTTTGCAAAATATGAATATTAATGCAATTATTTGTCAGGTTACCAATTTGTAACCAACATTTTGGTAACTAACAATTTGGTTACCTGACCAGGTATCTAGCAATTTGGTAACTCGACAATTTGGGAACACGACAATTTGGCAACCATCATTTTGGTAACGAACAATTTAGTAACTCGACAATTTGGTTACCTGAAAATTTGATAACTAATCTTTTGATAACTAACAATTTGGTAACTAAAAATTTGGTAACCTGACAATTTGGTAACCCTGAAAATTGGTAACCTGATATCTTTAAAAGTGTTTGAATAAACTCAAAGTAAACATGAAAGAAGACCATTGATATGTTTTCACAAATGTTAGAACTGATAGGCCTCAGAAATATCAGTTTTAGACCTTTATTCTGTGTTTTAGTGAAGAGAGATCTTAGAAAGAAAACAATATTTTTAAAGACCTCTTGTAGGTTTGAAGCTCACTGTAAAAATTGCCACCTTGCCCAACATTATTATCTTAGTAAAAAAAAGAAAAAAATATTTTTATTATCTTAGTAAAAAAAGCAGTTACAACATTTCTTTAGTTGCATTAACATTAACATTAACATTAACATTAACATTAACATTAACATTGACTATAAACAATTCATTAAAGTTTATGGTTGTCAGTATATAAAGTTAACATTAACATTAACATTAACATTGACTATAAGCTATTGATGTTTACTTATATGTTAATATCAATTAACATTAACATTTGTATGTTAATATTAACATTAATTAAATTTATTAAATCTTCAATGGTCTCATATAGAGCCTCTAATGTATCGTGAGGTTACCAAAATTATAGGCAAAATTGTCATGTTTTATATTATTAGATATCAAATTATTTGTTACAAAATTGTAGGTTACCAACTTGTCAGGTTATCAAATGGTAAGGCTACCAAATTGTCGAGTTACCAAATTGTAGGGTTACCAAATTGTCAGGTTACCAAATTGTCGAGTTACCAAATTGTCGAGTAATCAAATTTTCAAGTTACCAAATTGTCAGGTTACCAAATTGTTACATACCAAATTGTTAGTTAACAAATTGTCAGGTTAACAAAATTGTAAGGTTACCAAAATGTTTGTTACTTAATAATTAGTTACCAAATTGATAGTTATTATATATGTTATATTATATTTAACTAATCCCTGGATTAAGAAGCTATATTCTGCAAATAGGTTGTCAAGTGTTTTATCTCCACCGAATCTTGGAAATCATACCAACTAATTAGAGGACATGTCGTCTTTCTTTTTTCATTTGACACATATGACGTTGTGCGCAGTTGGTCGATTTTTCTGTTGCCATCTATTGTACTTGACAACCTATTTGATATTCTGTATTGTATATCTGTATTATATTTAACTATAGGGCCCTGGTATTACTAATCCATGGATTAAGAAGCTATGTTCTGTATTGCACATCTGTATTATATTTAACTATAGGGCCCTGGTATTACTAATCCCCATGGATTAAGAAGCTATGTTCTGTATTGCACATCTGTATTATATTTAACTATAGGGCCCTGGTATCACTAATCCATGGATTAAGAAGCTATGTTCTGTATTGTATATCTGTATTATAGGGCCCTGGTATTACCAATCTCTGGATTAAGAAGCTATATTCTGTACTGTATATCTGTATTATTTTTAAATATAGGGCCCTGGTATTACTAATCCCTGGATTAAGAAGCTATGTTCTGTATTGAACATCTGTATTATATTTAACTATAGGGCCCTGGTATTACTAATCTCTGGATTAAGAAGCTATATTCTGTATTGTATATCTGTATTATATCTAAATATAGGGCCCTGGTATTACTAATCCCTGGATTAAGAAGCTATATTCTGTATTGTACATCTGTATTATATTTAACTATAGGGCCCTGGTATTACTAATCCATGGATTAAAATAGGCCTCATCATAAAATTTGCCAGGATCCTTTTCTTGGGAACTTTTTGATTTAAAATTTTTGTGTTTATTTTATATATTTTATATTATAATTTTTAAAGTCATAATATATAGATTGGGGACTGGTTTTTACTCCGACAGATATCAAAGGTAGTTTTACAGTAGACTTTTAATGGATCTATTTACTAGCAGTTTCTGGCTTTACATACATGGCAGTAGCAAGACGCAAGACCATTTGAAAGTCGTCTTTCGACTTTAAATTTTTGTGTGTCAATCAACCTACTTTCACGTGTATGATTCTTGAAACAGTAAACACAAAATTGACCTATAGTTCTGGTATTTCCAGAGCTAGATAATTAGAATTTCGTTAAAATCAAAATTGTCGAAATCCCAACAAATTCTTTACATCTTCGGTAATATTAAAAGCACAAAAAAAGCAGATCACATTTTGGAAATGCCAAGCGTACGGTTTTTGGCGATTTTTGACTTAATAATTTTACTTCAAAAATTAGGTTTACGAATAAATGTAGCGAATAATTCTAAAGATCAAAGACGACATTCAACATGGCGGACCAAATTTTATTCTCAAATTTTTTTTATTCAGATGTTTAAATTTGGACTCTCTGCTCGAAACAATACAAATAATTGAACTTTAAATATTTTTCATGTATAGTTAATATTTAAGTCATGGGAAATTAGTTCGAAAACTAACAGTTGGCCCATTTCTAACACTGATTGTTAGAAATGGGCCAGGTCCATAAAGTTATCTTTTCCAATCATATATATATCTTTAAATCCAAGCCGAGTTGAGCAAAACACACCATACATTTATTAAAAGATGGCTAAAACTATATGTTGAATAAAAAAATGTCAACTTTAAACTAATATTAAGGAGTGAGAATTAATTTTTGATGATACTTGATTTCATTTTCGAACATATCCCTATTTTGTTACAATTTCCGGATTTCAGTTTTTAGAACATATCCTGGTTTTGAGACAATTACTCGAGTTCATTTCAATGTCAGTTTTCAAGTATTTACGCACTTACGTAACAAATCAAGACTTTTTAATAAGGTAAAATATAAACCACATAAAAAAAATACTGTTCTTTTATGATTTAAAATTATTATAGCATTTTGATCTTACAATGCGGGAAATTGTTCATTTAAAAATAAAATGCAGCTGAAAATAAAATCAACAAATAAAAGGGAAAACTAAGATTCTAGAAACAATTCAGGCGTTAATTTAATGCAACTTAACAGCATAACTGAATATCCAGGTTTTGCAAACCCGTAGAGTAGACTTAATTAAACATTCGCTTAATAGATAAACTAAATTATATTTTATAGAATGTGGACGAGCATTCTTTCTTGGATTTTCTACGAAAAATTGAAGAAGAGAAGAAGTGGTTTGTGGAACAGAAGGGCAGGTAAAATGTCGTCTATAAAGGGGCTATTGTGGTCATTTTGTGGCCTTTCACAACAGTACCCTCGGAACTTCAATCTGATCAATAATTTGGAAAATATTATCGTTGCGTCACTTTTGAAAAGAATAAAAGATAAAGCTTTTGTGGTATCAAGCAAGATTAGAGAGAAAATAAAGTTTGACATCAATTGTATGAAAATCTCTTGTTTAGGTTTGCAACCTTGAGAAATTTATCCATCAAGAAGAAACTGGGAAACAAGGAAATCTTTAAATTTCAATTGCCCTAATATTCTTTGTATCTAATGTTTTTGTTTATATATTCAGGTGTGTGACTTTAAAAAGCTGCACTTCACAAATCTGAAAAGTTTAAGAATTTCAAAATAGTTTGATCTAACATTTTTTACCTGAGGCAAGATTTAAATATGAATTATAGTTTAAAATACAATAAAGCCTCGTGTTTCCAATTTCAGAACATTTGTCGAAATTCTACAGGATTATTTTAAAAATTATATCTTTTAGATTTTTCGAACAACATTCCTTTAGATGAGAAATATAATTTTTTCTCAAAAAACATTTAAATTTGAGATTTTTGCTTTTCACAGGTTGATTTCATGGGCATTGACATGGAGAAAATGCGACCAAAGCTTCCTGACTCCCAACCCCCTTTGGCCCGCTACCGAGGTCCTATTGAAGATGAAATGAATCCAGGGGCCCGCTACCAAGCTACTACCGACGATGAAATAAATGTTGACGTCGCAGGATCCCAAGCTCTCTCTACCTCTACCACCAGCTCTTCTGCCTCCCAGGCAGCAGGGCCTGGCCAGGCTACTAGTTCTGTTGAACGCCTTGTAGATGCGGACATCTATGTGCCGCAGGATAGATTAGACGTATATACACATCTGAGAAGTATGACGCGTGAAAATGAGATTGAGACGGCTACCATTACTCCTGAAAAACAAGCATAATATTAGAAACATTTATTAAATAATAACAGGATTAAGGAGATAGTATATAAAAAATGATATTTCGTTCATATTTTACTTTTGTACCGACTATTCCATAAAATAGTATACTTATTATATACTAAAAACACTAACCTAGCCAATGTCATATACCTGTGCAGTAATTTTGTTGTTTATAAATGTATGTTTATTCGAAAAAATACCTTGCATTCCAATATTAACCCTTTTCTGTTTTTCTTATTTAGTCTAATACATATAATACATATTGTGGGAGGGGGGGGGNATTGTTGAACATTTCAGACCACTCGAACTACAGTTGTCGTCGCATATATCAGTACAATGAAGATGACTTTCGATTTTAATTTTAATTTATATCAAGATTTTAAACATCATGGATGCTCATAAACATGGAAACAAAGAGAAGCTGTCGATTCAACAAGCGTTTCTTTTTTATTACCTGTACGTAAACCTGTAATTATAAAAAAAACTTGTAAACAAACCTTTGTAGAGTAAAAATAGAAGATGTTAGTTCCACATTTATTGAAGACCAATGAGGTTTAGACAGGAAGTACGCTGGACAAATGTTGAAAGAATTTTTTATAAAAAAATAGCATACTACAATACTACAATACTACAATACTAAAATACTACAATACTACAATACTACAATACTACAATACTAAATAGGCCTCATCATAAAATTTGCCAGGATCCTTTTCTTGGGAACTTTTTGATTTAAAATTTTTGTGTTTATTTTATATATTTTATATTATAATTTGTGTTTAGATATTTAATATATTGTATCGATCTATGTTATTGAAATACATTTATACATGCTAGAATGTTTTCTTGGAATAAATTGCGGCATTAATTCGAAAACCTGTCAATAAAAGCATGATTCTTAAAACAATGATTTAAAAATACAAATTTCTTTGATATTTCGAAAATGTGTTCTGCATGCTTTTTTTGTGCGTTTCTTACAGTACCGGAGATATTAAGAACTTCATCCAAATTTTAATCTTTTCAAGAAAACGAAGATTTTCTAAAATCAATATATTTGTTTTCGTTTCACAGTTATCCGAAGATTGCTAACTTTCTCAAAGAGAATTTTGCCAATTACTTCTTAGAAATTTAAGCTAAATTAAGTGCTTTAAAGTTTTAGAAGTCTAGGACTATTTAAAAATGTACAATTAAGTAAGCGAGAAAGGTAAAATCAAAGGCCAAGGCTTTGCATACTTCAAGCCCAATGCTTGAGTTGCATTATCCAATATCTAAGCCATGCCTTCTCTTTTAAATTTTGAAAAAATAACACAAATATCAAGTTTTTATTTGCAGTGATTTGTTGATATTCAGATCTTAACTTTGTACAATTAGGTTTTGTATTTTTAAAATTAATTTACAAATTTTTTTTGAATGATGATGTATCTATATATTTAAATATCTTGCTTCTCATGTGTCTTCATAAAGTTCCATATTATCCTGGCTGCCTGTATTAGAGATGACCATTAATTTTTGTTTTGTTTTTTAACATACAGTGATAACCAGAAAACTCTGAAGTAGGAAGTCGACTTTTAGACTCCGGTTATTGTGCAGTGTAATTTGCTTTGTAACAACATCACATGCACTTCAGTATTACTTTGATGTCGTCTTCCCTTTCTACAGTTTTCTGGTTATCACTATATAAGGTTTTTTATTTAATAAAAGGCTTCCCAATAGTTAAAGGTTTAAGATGTGTATCACTTTTAAAATGGTGTATTCTTAATAAGTTTGAATTTATGAAAATGTGCAAAACTATGCCTCTCAAAAATTAAAATAACCAAAATATATGAGTTATCAAAATTATTTTGCCATTACAAAACCATGCTAATATTTTCAAAAACATGTATATGAACTACGTTTAATTATATATCATATATTATCTTCTTAGATAAACGGATAAAACTAAAAGTTTAAACGATTGTAAAAGAACTGGTTTTGATGATAAAAAAATCTAGAAGAATGGAGCTATAAGCCAATAAAACGCAATTAAAAAAATATAACAAACATCTTAGCGTAAAACAAAAAAAACTTTAAAATCTCAAAAAAAAAACCTAAAACTGCTATACTTTAAACTTAAGCAGTGAAGATATTTCGATGTTTTGTTCATTATCAAGACAGGTGAGCCAATAAACTCAGATTTTCTAATTTCGTTTTCCTATACCTTTTATATTTCAAACTATTAATTCTGGTAGATAAAATAGTCTAAGTTTGAAATATCAAAGGTTTACACCATCAGATTGCAAAGATATAGGGGTTAGAAAATGTTAGTTTGTTGCAAAAACTCAATTCCTTAGCAAAAAAGTTGAACAAACAACTGTTAAAAAATTCTAGAACAAAAATCTAAAAAAGAAATTGCCTCAATTCCTTATTGTTCAGTATTAAATTGACTGCTGTTTAATTTCAAGTGACCCTCCATACACTGATGCATGGGTAAACCCTTTAAAAAGTGGAAGATATTATCGTTTTCCTATACAACTTTTATAGAGACAACAATTGAAAAAAAATCAATATTAAAAGTTAAATTCAAAGATATCTTTATGTTCATACAAAGCTTTTATGGGTACCATATGGGTTATTCGAACATACCACTAAAAATGAAGGAACACTTGAATTTACGCATAACTGTCCCTTTAAGAATGTAAAACATGAGGAGGTATTGAACAGTCCCTTTAAGATTGGAAAACATGTGGGGTATTGAACAGTCCCTTTAAGAATGGAAAACATGTAGAGGTATTGAAAAGTCCCTTTAAGAATGGAAAACATGTGGAGGTATTGAACAGTCCCTTTAAGAATGGAAAAAATGTGGAGGTATTGAACAGTCCCTTTAAGAATGGAAAAAATGTGGAGGTATTTTTAACCGACAGAAGCTAAAAAATGTCGATGTTTACCTGAGTATGTTTACCGGCACCAAAGGGGTAATTATGCCCAAAACTTCCAGTACAATTCACAATCTTGATAAAATAGCTTTAAGCTTATTGTTCATATTATATTAAAATAAAATTCTTAAACTATCTAGAATTGATACCCGGCATTTAAAGTTATTTTGGAAGTATATCTCAATATTCTTTACACTTTATGTCCGTATGCAGGGGCGCAACTAGCACTTTTTGAGGAGGGGGGGGGGCGAAATTTAATTTTTGAAGACTTTTTAATTAGTTTTTTTAGGGGGGGGGGGCTGCAGCTCCACCCCTCTTGTCAACAACTTTTTTAAATGTTTTAAAAGTATGAAGTCGAAAATATTTAAAGTTTTCAATTTGGCTCTATTGCTATAAACTTTATGGCCGTACGTTTATCTCGTTCTATACACTTTATGGCCGGACATATACCTCCACTCTATACACTTTATGGCTGGAAGTATACCTCTCTTTTATAAACTATATGGCCGGACGTATACCTACACTCCATACCTTTATGGCCGGACGTATACCTCTTTCTATATACTTTATGGCCGGACGTATACCTCTTTCTATACACTTTATGGCCGGATGTATGCCTTTCTTTTATAAACATTATGGCCAGATGGTTACCTTTCTTCTTTACACTTTATGGCCGGACGTATAACACTTGACTATGCACATTATGGCCGGATGTATACTTCCATTCTTTACACTTTATGACCGGATGTATACTTCCACTCTTTACACTTTATGGCCGGATGTATACCACTCTTCTATACACTTTATGGCCGGATGTATACCACTCTTCTATAAACTTTATGGCCGGATGTATACCTCCACTCAATACACTTTTTGACGTATATCTGCACTCTCTGCACATTATGGTCATATATCTCCATTATACAGGTATTCATGTAATCATTTAAATATAAACCTCCATTCCTCCAATGCATACTGTCCATAGATCACAGCTCCAGTCCTGCACACCAAGCAAGATAAACCCAGGAATCCCAATATCTTTGTTACCATATATACAGAGATAGGTACTGCAGTTTCTGGGAGGAATATAGCACTGAGTGGGCTTACATTCCTTCCAGAATTTGTGGTACACTTTAACTATGTACCAGAAGATATGGAGGTTCTTGGTGTATCTTCATTCCTTAACGCCATCCATATCAGTTTTCCAGGGACTTGAGATTGAAGTACAATTAAACCCATCAACATATCTTCTTAAATAAAATAATATTTAACAATTTGCTATGAGAAGATAGAGAGTATTTATTTTGAATACAGAAAGGACATTTTATAAATGTAATAATATTGCATGAAAACACATTTCATAGATAGAAAATTTAACTTATAGGACATTTCATAGACAGGCCATTTCGTAGATAGAATTATGTAGTTTGTACTTTGTACTTTCAGCCATTTGTTTTTCAGGAGTTTATAATGGCGGCTTAATTTTCCTGTTCTGCACTATACTGTACTGTACTGTAATGCACTGTACTGTACTGTACTGTACTGTACTGTACTGTACTGTACTGTACTGTACTGTACAGTACTGTTTTTTCTGTACTGTTTTGTCTGTACTATACTGTACTGTACTGACTGTACTGTACTGTACTGTACTGTACAGTACTGTTTTGTCTGTACTGTTTTGTCTGTACTATACCGTAATGTAACTTATTTTATGGTTCTAATGTACTGTAACATATTTTTCTGTTTAAAATTCGGTGATGGTGATGGACCAAACCTCGGTAGAGTAAAAAAGTAGATATTAGTTCCATATTATTGAAAATATATTTCGGTCTGGGTTGACCCTCGTCAGTTCTAACAATATAATAACCATCAAAATCGATAAAAAAAAAAAAACTACATTTCTGGTCTTACAGTTGAAAGTTCCATTAATCTCAATCTTCTTGCTGGTATTAGAGGATTGTATAACTGTTCCAGGCTCTAGCTATTTAGGGACAAGTTGGGCAATTTAAACCACAAGGTTTCATACCAGGTATTTATAGCCTCTTTGGCCTCAATCTAGGAGGATCTGGAATTTTGGCTCGGATGAGTTTATCCCTGAGATTAGGAGGTCTCCTATAGGTAATCATAGGTGGATTTTGAAAAACCTCCTTCATCCAAGAATCCTGGACCATGGTTCTCCAATGTTTCTGTATGATGGAGGAGATACAAGGCAGCTGGGGATTAAATAAGATAGAGAATATAACTCGATCTGGTTTCTCCTTTTTCTCCCCTTTCTTTAAAGCATCTTCTCTAGGTATAGCTTTAGCTCGGACTATAGCAGAGTCAACAATTGAAGAATTGTAATCCCTGCTGAGAAGAAAATCCCTTAGTTTTAAGAATTGGGCATCCCTAAGTTCTGGTTTGCTGCAAATTCGTACAATTCTGTATGCAAGTGAATAAGGTATGTTGTTAGAAATATGTGCTGGGTGGCAAGATGATGGAAGTAGGTACATACATCTATCTGTGGGTTTTCTGTAGAGATCTGTTGTGATTTTTCCATCTTCAATATACAGATTTGTGTAACCTACTTTATCATTCATTTACTATATTTTATTGTAACTTACTTTATTGTACTGCTTTTCTTTTCATAATAAAACCCATCATTGCTCGAGACAAGACTATCGTATGGTCCCAATCCTGAAGTGAAATACATTTCCTTAATAATAATTTGGTTTATAAAGACGATATTCCAATAAGCTCAAAGTTGAGGATTGCTTTATAAAAGAAATCTTCTTTTAAATAACAAAGGTTAACATTTTTTTTAACATCTTTTAGGTGAATGTCCAAAATATGTTATCAACATCATATTGGACTGCAAATGCCCGATTTACAACGGTACCCTTGAAGCCTTCATCAAATCAAATATATGGAAGATACCTTCGCGCGTTTTCACGACTTTCTTCATCGCTTTTGAGTAAGAAATGTGCTTGTCACTTTTGCAGAGAAACCGTGAATGAAAATAAACATGTCAAAGAAAACAAATCACGAATATATAATTTAGACTTGATCCGACAAAGCTTTAAATTGTGAATAACCCACATTTTGTGAAAAAAATCCTAAACGTGTCAAAAACGATTCACTTTGCCCACGCACATCTAAGATACCTAGTGCCTGGGTTAGGGTATTAGGAACAACAGTATCCCTGGTTCCGTGGAGGTCGATTATACTCAGAGGAGATCCTGGTAGGTCACCATATCCTAGCAGGGGGGACGCAGCAACAGGAGCTATGGACGCAAATATATCACTAAAATGTGGAGAATAATTAAAAACTTATCAACGTAATTTTAAGATAATCTTTTCGTCAAATGTTGGACAATCTTTAAAATATCACTATAACCCAAAGGTTGCAAAGGAAATTTTAAAATGTCTATGAATTAGGAACTAAGTATAGGGTAGTTAGTTAGATAAAATCAATGACCAAAACCCAGCGACACTTAAAAATCCCCCCAGTCTGAAGCATTAATGCAAGAAAATTAATAAAAAATAAGAAGCTGAAACAAACCTAAGTTTAGCGATGATTGAATATGACAGAATTCCACCATTTGATATTCCGCTCTGGTGAATTGATTTAGAATTAATGCACAATCTTTCTTTAGCATAATCAATCATTGATCTAAATAAAACTTTTAAGTTATTCAGTATAATCAATCATTGATCTAAATAATACTTTTAATGTATGCAGGATACAAAACATTTTTTTAGTATAATCAATTGATCTAAACAATCTGAATTGATTAAGCGTTTATACATAATCGTTCTTCAGTATAATCAATTGATATAAATAGTCTGAATTGATTAAGAGTTGATTCAGAACCGTTCTTTATTATTAATCAATTATTGATCTAAATAATCTAAATTGATTGAGATTTGAAAATGAACATTTTAAAATCATAATCAAACATAGATTTAAACAATCTGAATTAATTTAGAGATCAAACAAAACATTTGATTATCATAATCAATCGTTAATTCAAATCCATACTTCATAAAAAAGAAAGTTTTTTTTATAAAAAATTCAATCTGGCGACTATGTTTTGCAAAGCCAGTAATTTCATCAAACTTTTGAATTTGTGTTTAAAATTAGCCAATATATTATTTGGAAATCTAAAGTTATAATTGAGTGCATAGAGCCAGGACTATTTATACATATGTTTTGGTCACGGTGCATTAAATTGTAAGTTAATGTGTACTTCATGTTTGTACTTTTTTGGCGCCCTGAAGATATTGTTTTAAAATCAAAGAATTATAGCAATATTAGCGTAAAAGTCGTTAAAAGAAAATTGTAATAAGCTAGAAAAAATAAACTGTCACAAAGAATAAACTTAGAAGTCATTTACATGTATTTCTCCGGACAAGGGTATTTTGTTCCACTAATTACTTTCCTAGACTGTACTTTGTTACACTAAATACATTCCTAGACTGTATTTTATTCCACTAATTACTTTCCCAGATTATATTTATGTTTAATCTGCAGATTTAGTACAAAAATATTCTCGAGGGGCAAAGAAACTTAATTTTTTTTAATTAACACACTTTTATTGTAAAATATCGTTAAAATTTCTGTAAAATTTGACAAACATCAACGAAAATATGTTGATTGCAATCACTAAAGATTTTCCCTTCAAATCAATTATATTTCAATAATAAGAATAACTTTTTAATAAACTGTTCTCCCTACAACATAGCCCGTACTTCCCGTAATCCCGTAAAACCCGTAAATCATGTACTTCTCACATGTAACATCCAAGAAAACCAAGGAAGTAATTTGGTAGGCGATTTTAGCAATATAATGAAGACGACTTTTTAAATTTTAGGTCAGTTTCTGATTTTTAAATTTAATTATTCTCAAAACAGACCAAAAATGAGGAAAAAGATCAAATAAAAGAGGAAACCAATGAACAAACTGAGAATTGAAAACTTTTCTGAAAAAACCGGAAACGGACCCCAAAAAAAGAGGAAACCGATAACCAACTGAGAATTTAAAACTTTTCTGAAAACCGGAAACGGACCCAAAAAATGAGGAAACGGAACCAAAAAAAAGGAAACGGATCAACAAACTGAGAATTTTAACTTTTTCTGAAAACTGGAAACTGGCCCAAAAATGAGGAAACGGATCCAGAGGAAACCGATTCAAACTGAGAATTTACAACTTTTTTGAAAACCGGAAGCGAACCCAATTAAATGCGGAAACTGATAAAAAAACGGGAAAAGAATCAGTGCCAAATTCTATCAGATATTTAGAAATATAAAGTCATCCCCGTAATTATGTATTTCGATTGTCGATTACAATGTTAGAATTTCTTCTAATTAATTTAAAACTAATTTGCCAGGTTGAAAAGCTGGATTCGAAGACCAAGACCTGGGTTGATACTGAACTCATCTTTGAGAAAACTCATGCCATTCTGTTTACTGGCACTGTCATCCCTGCTCATTTACTTCCTCCTTAAACTTATTGGAGAGATTATATAGAGTGTTTCGACGTCAGTTCAAGTGTCTCTTTGTGTATTTGTACGAAAATCTGAAATAAGGTGTCATTGGTTTTCAATGAGTAATTATAATAGTGGTTTGACTTGTGATTTTTTTCTGCAGAAAACGTAAATGAAATTTTATTAATTAAACAGTTTTTAAGGTTGAAAAACGACGACATTATTTGAGATTTAGGCATGTCCCTTTTTAAAAGGAGGATTACTTGAATTCAGTCACTCTATAATAATAATTCCATTGTAAGGTTTAGACTTGTAAATTGGCAAATAAAAGTTTTTGAAAATTTCTGATTGTTACTATGGTAGTTAAACGAGGTATGGCTGGTTCAACTAATTCTTTTCTGCAAGTTGGTTTAGTTAATTCATTGTTTAAATAAGTGTTACTTAGACTAAAAAAAGAAGATATGTGAAATTTGAGTATGTTTATATAGTCTAGGGTNTTTATCGCATTAAGCCTATACCCCCTTTCATTTTTCGCGAACACTACCTTTAAAAAACAATATTTTCTACATTTCTCTTAACGATCCAAGGCTTTATTTTCTGAACGACACCATCGTTCATGAAACAAAATTTCATTCTCACCACTGCATTGTTATGCAGAGTTGGGCAGGACTTATTTGACTGGTGCTAAGATGAGTAAGAATATTTAAATCGGTGTTGTAATAAAGATTTGAAAAAGGACGGAAAGTCTTCAACATGACATTCACCCATAATGTATATTCCATGGAACTTCTTCTATTTGTTGCTTCATGCATACTTACAATTCTGGGGCATAATTTGGCCCATAAAACTGCTTTCTGCCTCGGCTATAGAAATGTTGTTTCGCTCCTTTCTATACAGCATTGATCCTCCCCTAGTTTCGCCCTTTAAGTGTACTCTTGATATCTACCAGATAAGAAAGGGTTCAACACCCTTGCGGGTCTAGCCTGTTGTATAGTCAGGCTGCAAACATACTAAGGGTTCAATATCCTCTTGGGCTTGGGATAGATTGTTTGGCTTTATTCTTGGATTATATTGTTAGGCTTTATTTCTCCGCTTGGGAGCAAAGAACTGTACATTACTATAAACAAGTTGAGAATCCTTGGGTCCGGTTCCCAGTAATACTAATATTTTCAAACACTTGTTTTATTCGATTTATTTCTTATTATTTTTTCTCATTAATAATCTTGACATTTTAGATTTTTAGCACTAAGTCACTATCTCATAAATTTCAGCAATAATAGGAAATTGTTGTTCATACTTTGTCCTGTTGGTATCACAAATGCTCCCCTGGGGTCCAACAGATTTAGAACAATTAAATGTCCTTGATCCTTTTCCAGCCATAGTATCAGTCATTCCATTTGGGGTAATAACAATGAACCCATCTGGGTCCTCATCAGCTACAACTAAACAATAAAAATTATTTCATTTAGATGGGTTAACTGTTAAAGCTAAAACCTATTCTTCGTTTAAATGGTTAGGGCTTCAAAAAGGGTTTAAATCAGAATTCCGTTGCGCGGAAATGCAAGAAATTGTACACAACTGTTCTTAAATTGCAGGGAATTGTGCAGAATTGTCCCATCGTGTTGGAAGTGGGGTTTCCAATCGCAATTCCACGCAACTGTTCTCGAATTGTGCGCAATCGTACGGAATTGCGCAGAATTGCGTGGAATTGTGAGGAGTTTACAGGGCTTGCAATTGAACTCAAGTAAAATCCACTTGCATTGATATACCTAGGGTTTCCAATCAGAATTCTGAAAAGCTTTGAATTTGATGTAACTTTTCATATCAGTGATTGATTTCAACCTGTTTATCTTTATTTTTGTAAGTTGAAATTGCCATGTGTGCATGGCAGGTCAATTAAAATTCCGCTTACAGTCCCTTTAAAGAGACTGTTAAAACTGCCATCTTTACATAATATTCTGATTTATTTATCTTTTTAATCTAAAATTCTGAATCCATTGTTAAATTCACGTTGCCAGTGATTTTAAATCTGCTTAATTGAAAAAATTATTCGATAATTAGAAATGAAATGGCGCCACTTCTGGACCCGCCACCACTGCGCCACTTTCGCGCCACCTGGTGGCCAAATATGGCAATAATTTTTGCTTAATTTTAAATAAATTCACGTGCAAATCAAATTTTAAATATTTTATTCAAAATTAAGGCTGTCATCGCACTATATAAGAAATCATAAAAAAATAAATTTTTTGAACTGTAGTGTTTTCAAAAGATTTGATTATCGAACATTTTTATATTGAATTTATATTCATAATTTCTTGTGAAGAATATTTTCTTTAATAAGCAAACCTGTAAAGTTTGAATCCTTTTCTTGAAAAAGGGAGTTACCACCCACTCCATGAAAGTCTAAGACCAAGGGGGTTGGAACATCCTTGCGCACAAAACCTCATTGGCACATGCTCAACTGGGAAACTTATTTACATTGTACAAATTTTAATAATGTTATGTATATCTTTGTTCTTGTTTCAGAGGTGCAAATGATGTTTTTATTATGGAGGGGGTTGGGGGGGTTGGTCTTTAACTACACATTAGATTTGATTTTGGAATAAATATAATAAAATTTTAACATTTCTCTAAAAAAATGCAGGTAATTTTAAACCATTTGCCACAGTTTTATTGATTTTTTTTCTTCAAACTCTCACTTTCCATCCCCCTTCCCCCCCCCCCTGCTTAAAGAAGGGCAGATGACCCCCCCCCCTTTGCGTCTCTGTTAATTCTAATTCTAAAAGTTGTCTTTTTTAATCATTGATTCAAAGCGCTAATCGTAAATTAAAAAGGTTTTTATCAATTTTAATTTTGAATAGACAGATCTAAATTAATTCTTCTAAATCAATATTGAAAATTAATTACTTTTTCTTTAAAAAAAGATCATTAAATATTAAGAAATCAAATTTTTTATGTTCTAGCTCACTGATTAAAATTTAAAAAAAAAATTCTCCTTAAAAAGTGTCATTTGGTTTTCTTCCGCAAGGATGTAAAGAGGCTTAATAGGCTTTTCCAATTTGCTTGGGAAAAAGGCATTAAAAGTCATAAAAAAGCTAACATTTTAAACAAAAAATATATTTTAAATAATACAATAAAAAAGACGTACACGCCATTTGTGCACAGTGCTGTGAACACAGACCCATTTCAAATCTGATTGGTTTGAAACTTTATCAAATAACAAAAGATTTCTAAAATTCTCAAAATTAAAAATAATTTTGCAAAAATAATTTTTAATTTGTTTGGATGAGAGTTTGCCTTGTTGTATTGAAGAGGAATATGAAGTCGAAAACTTCTCTTTACTAAACCAAGCAAAGGGTCTGATACCTGCAGATAGAAATTAAAGGGAGTGTTCGACTAGTATTCTAACTTATTCAGATATAGATTAAAAGGAGTGTTCGACTAGTATTCTAATTGATGCAGATATTAATTAAAGGGAGTGTTCGCCAATTATTCTAATTGAAGTAGATATAAATTAAAGGGAGTGTTCTCCTTTTAAACTAAATGATTCAGATATAAATTAAAGGGAGTGTTCGCCTATTATTTTAAATGATGCAGATACAGATTAAAGGAAGTGTTCTCCTGTTTAACTAAATGATTCAGATATAAATTAAAGGGAGTGTTCGCCTATTTTACTAAATGATTCAGATATAGATGAAAGGAAGTGTTCTCCTTTTTAACTAAATGATTCAGATATAGATTAAAGGGAGTGTTCTTCTATTTTTACTAATTGATGCCAGGTTGATCGAAACTAGGGTTTCCAATCAAAAAAATTTTCCGAGAAAGTCGTGCCATAATCGCTCAAAGATGAAACCTTTAGAGTAAAAATTGTATTAAATTTTGATAAAATTTCGCATTGATACGCAAAAGCTATTTCGCGCACATTATGAAGAACATCTTGATTTTTGTGCATTTCGTTGTTCATGCTTTTTCGTTAAATTTCAAGAAACAATTTCAGTAAATGAATGAATCCAAAATTAAACCAATCAGAGTCCCACTATACTCTCATCCGCACTTTGGGCGGTGGCCTCACTTCTAAGGTTGTAACTTTTAAGACAATTTGGCACAGTCGACGGAGATAGGTACCAAACAAACATACATCCAAACAGGAGAAATGTGTACATGTGTACATACCTACATAGATTAATAAATAGATGAGACGCACATCCACTGGCACCTTTTAGCGTTTTTTCAAAACTTATATTATTACAAATTTTTTTAAAGAATGTAACCAACATTTTTACTGCGTCTAAACTACAGTGGCATATATAATATCAATACGATGAAGACGAATTTTTTATTGAAGTTTTGATTTTTAAGCTTTTTCCGAATTTCAAGTTTATACGTAATCAACGAGAAGCTTTTTAATTGACAGCTTCTCTTTACTTCTAGATTTATATGTATCCAAGCTGTTTATAACAGCTTAACATAAATCAAAATTGAAAGCAAAAGTCGTCTTCATAGTAGTGATGCAAAAGTCGTCTTCATAGTAGTGATATATGCGACGGTGACTGTATAGAAAATGATAATAATGTAATTGTGTTCATGATTAAAATACTGCAGGTGTGCAAGTTGTTTTTACTAAAACTTATTCACATCATACTGTCCAAATATTTAAATCTTTTATATTTGTGCAATAATATTTATTTCGAATGAATTCGTAATTTGGTGCTAACCTGGTTTCGTAATAATAGGCAAATGATGCGAAATTTCCTGCAAAAAAGTCATCTCGTGCAAAAACGCAAAACGGTTGGGCAAGGAATCTACGTTTTGTGGAAACCTAGTTTAACTACATGTAAGCATAGCCTGGCCGTCTTCACTGTACACGCAAGGCCTTAAAGTCAAAGTATAAAGATAAAATGCATAATCCAACTTTTCAAGGCCAACTCACTTTTGAACTGTAAGGTAACTCTAGTGAATGTGCTGGGGTAGTTTAAAACATTACAAAAGATTTGTCCGGAAAATGTAAAAAAGTTTACCTGAATGTTGACCAGGCTAGATTGACCCCTAGAGAAGGGTGGCTCTACCTCCTGACCGCAACCTGAACCAACTAAACACAAAGAAGGGACTATTCACGAAATTCATTCTTTTCAAGAGTCCCATTAATGATTCACAACAGAAAACCTGTTTCCAAGAAAAATTGGATTTTCTTTCTGAAAAGTATCTTGTGTATGGCCATGACAAAATGGCCAAATATTGTGCCAAATATTGTGCCAAATATTGTGCCAACATTTTGCCAAAATCCAGAAAAAATGACGATTTTAAGGAAAAGGTATTAAAGGGAACTGTTGCAAATTGTTAATGGTGATTTTTAAATAATGGATTGATTGAATTTAGTAAACAATTCCTTTAACTATTTCCTAAGAAAATTAGGCTAATTTTAAATTTTAATACTGTATTTAATGTATTTTATAATATTTGAGGCGAATGCTTATTTAAACTTATATTTATTTAGATGAGCTCTGCGCTAATTTTAAAATGTATGTTTAAAGTGAGCTTAACACTGAAATCTACTTCAAAGATATAAATAGTAATAAACATTAAAAGCAGTGTTCGTAAAAAATAAGAGGAATCATAAGGGCTGAATCCAAATAAAATTTGGATTCGATCACTACTTTTTTTACTTCTATATATCGGGTCAGAAGAAGTAAATGATTGAACACGTGATAAGAACGGAGAAGTACAGGGTTAATCACAAAGGATGAGACTTCAAAGACGATTGTACAGAATTTATACTGTCTGTCTCCTTATATTTACGATTCCCTGCAACTGTAAACTTGATTGTTTCTTTGCCAAATAATTAAATAAGCCACTATATAACTATATATAAGGCAGAATACATAAATTAACCTATGCATCCTATGCAGCCGTATATAAACTTGTATATTTTTCTTATACAGGGTGTCCCAATAAACATGGGAATTCAGTGACGAATTCGATATCGTCTTTATATATAATTCTTTGATTTAGTATAGTGATACCTACTGAGAAAGCTGTAATCTGTAAGAGTTTCGTCTGCTATGTTCACATTTTGTTTGTTTATGTTTTGACTGCATACGGTTGTACTTAGCAAAACAAGAAAATTACAGTATACAACCAGAGTAAACTTGTCCGTCTTCACTGTTCATCTTGCAAAAACAGACACATCTTTACAGTCTTTTACCCTTTTCAAAAATACACTCTAGCAGACATAGTAATATTATGGGTTTTGAAATTAGGTATTACAATGCTAATTCAAACAAAGACGATATCCAATTCGTCACAGAATTCCCATGTTTTTTGGGACACCTGTACCTATATGCATGCTATATATATGCAGCCATATATAAATTTGTATACAAACGTCTATAAGTCTACGCATCACTGTTGAAACATTGTTCACTGAAAACTACAAGTCTCGGAATTTCCTAAATGTGGTCTGACATTTTTTTACCCTCAAAATTAATATGAAATCTTTAATATCTCCGTCAATTTCAAAGATACAAAGATAGTAAACCTCATTTTGGAAAGCTCATTAGACTTTTTTTGATGCACTTTATTTCATTTATCAATTATGGGAAATCAAAGACGATATTCAAGTCCTCTCTCAATAACCATGTTTAACGGGATAACCTGTAGTTAAAAAAACGTTTATCTCACTATAGAATACTATACATAAAAATATATATGTTATTATTTTTCACTAATTTAGATATCTTTTGTGTATGGAGTACGAGAAACTAAACACAAATCAAATTGTTAAAAACTGACATTTAACATCTGTTGCTTACATCTACCTTAACTGATTAATTTTGATTTTTTAACAAACAAGTGTTTAGACTGAGTAGGGCTGGGCACCTTAGTAAAAATGTTTAGACTGAGTAGGGCCGGGCACCTTAGTACAAGTGTTTTGTCTGACTAGGGCTGGACACCTTAGTACAAATGTTTAGACTGAGTAGGGCTGGACACCTTAGTACAAATGTTTAGACTGAATAGGGCTGGGCACCTTAGTACAAGTGTTTAGACTGAGTAGGGCTGGACACCTTAGAACAAGTGTTTAGTCTGAGTAGGGTTGGGCACCTTAGTACAAGTGTTTAGTCTGAGTAGGGCTGGACACCTTATTACAAGTGTTTAGACTGAGTAGGGCTGGGCTTATTACAAGTGTTTAGACTGAGTAGGGCTGGGCTCCTCAGTACAAGTATTTAGACTGAGTAGGGCTGGGCACCTTAGTACAAGTGTTTAGACTGAGTAGGGCTGGGCACCTTAGTACAAGTGTTTAGACTGAGTAGGGCTGGGCACCTTAGTACAAGTGTTTAGACTGAGTAGGGCTGGGCACCTTAGTACAAGTGGCGTTATTTCTGGTAAAGACTGAATTTTTCCTTACCTTAAAAATATTTTTTAAAGACGATCAACACATCAGCATAGGCATAAATAAATGTACAGTAAATGTAGTAGAAAATCGCAATAAATAACAGTTTTTTAGCAAAAGTATAACAACTATTTCCCCAGGGAGCGAGAAGTTTACTAATATCACATAAATAGGATTAATATGTTTAGGTTATAAACTATGCCATGATGTTTTTCAAATCTTGAATTAACACCTGCATATATATTTAATAAGCATTAAAAAAGTAAAGACATTTTTCCAGAAGATATTTGGGTATGTTTGTGAGTCAATTGCGGGATTGAGGCTATACATGTACCCGTACGGCTTGCCATCCCTCCTCACCTGATGCCTAAATAATATTATTTTTGGCAACATTTTTCTCTTGTGGAGGAGGGTGAGGGGGGGGCTTGAAGTGGCAAATATTTAATATACAAGGATAATCTAAGATCTGGATTCTATTCTCTACTCTTTTTTTGCTGTAATAAAATTCCAACCATCTGCTCATATAGTTTTAACCCTCCCTTTCCCATTCCCTCCACAGCTTTGCGTAAGACACTGTCTGAGTCACAAAAACACCTTTTCAGTACCAATCAATTCTAAGTCACATTTTTCAGTCGCAATTACTTCACAGCCATACATTTCAGACCTAATAATGTCTAAGACACTTTCTAAACCAAAACTGTGAGACAAAACTATACCTCAATCAGGTTTTGTAAGGCTTAACTATGTCTAACACAAATTCTGAGTCACAAGCACAAGTCACAAATACGTCTAAGTCTGTTTTTGGAGACAAAATTATGTCTAAGACACTTTTTAAGTCTCAAATTATCAATCACAATCATTTCTAAGTCACATTTTTCTACACAAAGAATACCATATCTCAGTTCTTTTTTAAGGCTTGAAAAAGTCACAATGTTTGTTGCTTAGTCAAAAAGAATTCCATATCAATCTTTTTTTCTGTTCATATTAAGATTTAAATTTACCTCAATATTTAGCTCATTCAGTAATAATTTGACTCAAAAGTTGATATTTTATCAAGGAGAGTGAGGAAGGCATCAGATGTGATGGCTGTTGCTTTTGATGCTTTCAGATGTTGTTTCTGATGCTTTCAAATTACACTTTTGATGCTTTACTACACGGTCAAAGCATCCAAAGTGTTGAAATTGAAAGAATGAATACAGTGGCATGTCCCATAGTAACCTAGATAAAATATGTTATACATTGTCCATAAATCTAACTGCGCTTAGCAGAAAATACGTAAATCCTGTATTGCGATTAACCCAACCTTTGTATGTATATATATATAACTCCGTTAAACCCATGTTGTGATTAGCTTAACTACTTTTGTATATAACGTCGCAAAACTTGTAATTACGTCGATAAAACTTAATCTGCAATCTAGAATCCAAAGTATACTCAGTTGAAACAGACTCTTGAAATATTTCCAAGCAGGAGTAATCGTTCCTCCTTTAGCGAATGGTAACCCCAGTTTACAAGATCATGTCCTAGTTTAGTCATTGATAGTTTACAAGATCGTGTCTTAGTTGAGGCATTGATAGTTTATGAGATTGTATCCTAGTTGAGGCATTGATAGTTTATGAGAAATTTTCATAGTTGAGGCATTGATAGTTTACGATCATGTCCTAGTAAAGGCATTGATAGTTTACAAGATCATGTCTTAGTGAGGCATTGATAGTTTACGAGATTGTGTTCTAGTTGAGGCATTGATAGTTTACGAGATCATGTCCTAGTTGAGACATTGATAGTTTACAAGATTGTGTCCTATTTGAGACATTGATATTTTACGAAATCATGTCCTAGTTGAGTCATTGATAGTTTATAAGATCGTGTCCTAGTTGAGTCATTGATAGTTTGTAAGATCGTGTCCTAGCTGATGCATTGATAGTTTATAAGATCATGTCCTAGTTGAGGCTTTGATAAATAACGATCTAGGTCCCGATCAATCTCTCAATACTCTACTCTTACTCTAATAACAAGTCTTATCTGACTTTATCTCCAGCCAATCCTGGCTCTTTATACGTCTGTCTAAAACAACGATTCGTACTATACTAATTTATTGATACAGGTAAATATAGATTGACCGGACTGGCCGGTCAGGGTCAAATCAAAACATAGATAATAAAGATAGTGTAACGAAACATAGATAATAAAGATAGTGCAACTAAGTATAATCCCCTGAATTTATTACAGATAGTTTATAAGATTGTGTACGGTTTGATATTGATAAAAAAGTGACATTGAGTTATGCCTGGATTGATACGGGTTTGAGAACATTGATTTAAACCTGGATTGATACGGGTTTGAGAAACCCCTATGGAGTAGGGCATTTACTACATATCTGTCTATTTGTCTATCTGTCTAGCGATCTATCTGTCTATTTTTCTATCTGTCTAACGATCTATGTGTCTATCCTTGAATTGATTAAGTGACAAGTTATGTTGACAGTTGACATCTCAATAATTTGTTTTGACATGAGAGAGGTGCCCCCCCCCCTTCCACTCCACTCAATAAACATGGTGTCCGCCCCCCTTCACTTACACACCTCC